TGGAAACAAAATCTTTTCAAATAGGGAAGGGTGGAGGGGGTGAAGGGAGGGCAGGGGAAGGGGAAAAAAAAAAGAACCAAGATACTCATGTAACTGGACAAGATCCCAATGATGTATGTAAATGTATTTTATACCTAAAATGTACCAATAAACTTAATGGGGGGGGGCAAAGAAAGAAACATATACTTGTTTATGTTCCCAGAACTCATGGTAGTCACATCTGAATCCAGGCGGTTCTGCTCCACAGACTGAGATCTTTATTTTCCACAGCACTGGCTCTCAGGGAAGGGCCATATAGCCTGGACCAAACCAGTTAAATCACATCAGCTCAGACAAGCAAGAGATAAGAGACTGGGTTTAGTCATTGTTATTTTTAAAATTTTTTCCATATGTCTACCTAACTCATATTGAGAGATTTAATTTCACTTTACATCTCTTTAATTTCTTTCATATGACCTCTGTCCTCTTCATAGATCTTTAGTTACAGCATTTATTTCCTTCTTTCTGTCAACGATTCACCACCATCTTCCTGGTACAGCTTCTTTTGTCCCCTTTTTTTCCTATTCCAGGTAACCATTCTCCAAATCAGTCTTAAAAGCCTACTATGCCTCAAATGTTCAGCAGGTCATAGTGTCTCATGGAGAAGCCCTGAGGCTTTTTCTTCCCTTCAGACAATATTTGATAGTGGATCTCCTACCTCCTTATCAGCTTTATCAGTGCCACTGCATAAAACTAAAGACCATTTTGCTTTCTTGTTTCCACTTACAGATGGAGCAAAGATAGTGACAGTGCTGAGAACATGTACATTGACATGATGCTATGGAGACATGCTCGGCGTCTCTTAGAAGATGTGCGATTAAAGGACCTTGGCTGCTTTGCCGCCCAGCTAGGCTTTGAGCTAATTAGTTGGCTATGCAAGGAACGTACTCGCGCTGCCCGAGTAGACAATTTTGTGATCGCCCTGAAAAGACTCCACAAAGATTTCCTTTGGCCACTTCCCATCATCCCAGCATCTTCTATCAGTTCTCCTTTCAAAAATGGAAAATACCAAACAGGTAATGTAGGCTTTTCACTTTTACAAGAAGAATTGTGTTTTACTACAAGTATTTAGACATTTTGCTATTAGTTGAGATTCAAGGAAGTCTTTCCAAATTCAAGCCAATTAAAGCCAGCTTTTTTTTATAATAGTTGGAATACCCACCATTTGATCAAGGATTTAATAAACTAGAACTTATGTCTCTTACTCCTTTGACCCTGAAAGTCTCATTCATAAATTAATCATTGTTATAAAGAAGTTGAGAACTAGCTGAAGTTAAAAGCTACCATGCTTACCTTATTATGGAAAGGATTTCGTAACCCATTAGTCAGGGACTTCAAATTAAGCTAAATTGTGATTTATTGGATAGAATTCATTCTGAGAAAATAGTGAAAATTATCTTTGACAGCTTAACCCATCTTCTAAACTAGGAGAAGTCAAACTGAAACTGCATATTTAAGTATAAGAAAAATTAAAACACAGGATTTTTTTAAAATTCAGATCTTCTCAGGGCCAGGGATTTAGCTCAGTGGTTCCGCCGCCTCCCTCGCAAGCGCAAGGACCCAAGTTCAACCCCTGGTATCAAAAAAAAAAAAATTGTTTTCCAACTATGAAAACTTTAAAACTTTTTATTATATTTGGAAAATTCGTATCATCCCTTAAGAACCAAGACAAATCATATAACAAAATGAAGTCTTGTCTAGTTTCATTAAGACATACAGTACATGACATGTGATCAATATATATGTTATAATTCCACATCCCTAGTTTTTGAGCACATAATATAATGTAGGATAGCAGGCTTTAAATTGCTAGTATAGGTTAGGCAGGTGGGAAATATAAAAGAACTGAATAGAAAATGGCACTTAGTGCATCTTGAATTTCTCCTACTTTTTGTTTATTCTTGAACCTAACCTACAGTGGGAGAGCAGTTTTTAAAGTCTCAATCACCTGACCCTTTTATAAACCTTGAGATGGACACTGGTGTCTCTAACATGCAACGGAGTCAGAGCTGGCTCAGCAACGTTAGCCCAACCCATAATGAGATAGACACAGCCTCATCCCATGGACCACAAATGCAAGATGCCTTCTTGTCACCTTTATGTACTAAAGGTAAGGGCCTTTTTATCCCAGCTCTTCCATTTCTTTAGGAAAAAGTCTATGTGTTGTAGTATTTCAGGTGTCACTCTTCTTTCAGCATCCTGAAGGAGTAGCTATATCTGCTAGGAGGTCAACAGTTACAAGAACAATAAAACAGCCTTCACTATACTTTGCTATGCTTTTTTAGATACATGGCTTTGGTAAAGTCTCATGCAGATAAGCATTATTAGATGGATCTTTGCAGTTCAATTTGTTTTGAGACAAGATCTTAGCTAAATTGTTTAGGCTGGATACAAATTCATACTTCTTCCACTTCAGCCTCCTGCATAACTGAGACTACAAGCATGCACCATCATGCCCAACTCCTTTTGCAACCAATTTTCATAATAAAACACTAACTTTAGGCTCTTAAGTTTAAAAAAATTAAGAAAATAAACTCTAAGCAAAATGGTATCGTTATATTAAAAATTCCATTTTTTTTATTTTAATAAAATTTTGTGGAAATTTGCTTGTTCTCTTGTTATATATATAATAAGTTCCTATACAATATCTTTGATTTTACCATTTGGCATTCAAAGTCTAAAAGATTTACTATCTGGCTCTTTCCAAAAATTGTACACTAATCTCTGTTCTACAGTAATGGGTAAATTAACATTAGAGGTTTTGAGACAGTTTATGTGGACATAGGGTTATACAATAAAGGAGCTTAAATGGTAATTGGTTTGATTTTTTGGCAGTTTTTTAATGCCCATTTACTAAATGTTTGATCAGTTCATCTACACTATTACCTGAGTTTCATAAACTCAGAGACTTATAACTGCCATTACTTTTTCCATTACTTTTTAAATGTAAAATACTTTTTACCCTCTTGCATTTTTAAATATAAATATCAATAGCATTGACTGTATTCCCATTGTTTTGCCATCAACCAGAATACTTTGCCTTACAAAAACAAAACTCTGTGTATATGTTATTTAGTAACAGCTTCCCATTCTCTCCCATGCTAAGCTGCTGGCAGCCAAATTCTGTTTTCTGTCTGTATGAATTTGACTTTTCTGAGTACTTCATATTAAAAAATCATGTAGTATTTGTCTCTTGGAGCCTGGCTTATTTCACTTAGCATAATGTCCTCAGGTTCATACATGTTGTAGTAAATATCAGAATTTCCTTCCCTTTAAGTCCACAGATTATTCCATTGTGTTTATATATATTTTGTTTCTCTCTCTGTGGAGGGACACTTAAGTTGCTTCTCTTTTGACTATTGTGAATAATCCTGCTTATGAATACAGATTTAGAGAGATGTATCTCTGAGATTCTGCTTTCAGTTCTTTTGGGTAAATACCCAGAAATTGGATTACTGGATCATAAGGTAATCTACTTGTAATTCTTTTAGAAATTGTCATACTGTGTCCCATAGCAAATGCACCATTTTACATTCCCACAAGTACCATCAAGGGTTCTGGTTTCTCCACATCCTCACCAACACTTATTTTCTGTTTTTTAATAGCAGCCATCCTAAGGATGTGAGGTGGTGCCATTACTTCTTTCATAGAACTTTTCTTAAAGAGATAATTTTAAACATATGTAAAAACTAGAGAAAATAACATAGTGGACAACTCTCCCCAATGTCCATCATTTAGCTTTGATTATTACCATGGCCATACACGTTTTATTTACTACTCCTCTCCTGTATTAATTGACACACATCCAAGACAGCTTATCAGCCTACAAGGACTCATAAAAACATAATACCATTATCATCCTGCTAAAAATGTAATAATTCTTTAATACCATCAAGTATCTAGATTTCCTATTGTTTCATGAATGTCATTTTTTAAAATGTCATACTTTATACATTGTATGTTTTTTTCTAAATGATTGTTCCCTATCCCCATATCGCTTTCACCCTTGCAATTTATTCATTGAGAAAACATGATTCTGTGGATTTATTCAAAATGTGGATTTTGCTGATTGCATCTTCATGATTTGCTTGAACAGTATACTCTGTATTTCCTGTAAATTGGTAGCTAAATCTAAAAACTTGGTGAAATGGTAACTAGATTTTGGGGGGGAAGGTAAGGAAGACTGCATATTGATGGTAGTATGTTTTCCATCCCATTGTTATGTGATGTCTGTTTATGGATCTACTGATTTTTTTAAAAAGTACTATTCATACAACATGGCTATTTTAGCAGAATTAATGTTCTGATTTCAAAATCCTGATGAGAAATCACAATCTGAAGAATAGCTAATAAAACTAAAAGGAAATATATTTTCAACAAGAAGCTGGTTTGTAACTTTTTGAAATTCTTCATCAGGTGATGAATGCAGCATTGGTTCAGCCACAGACCTGACTGAAAGTAGCTCCATGGTAGATGGAGACTGGACCGTGGTGGATGAAAATTTCTCCACACTCAGTTTGACCCAGTCAGAGTTGGAACACATCTCCATGGAGCTGGCAAGTAAAGGACCTCACAAATCCCAAGTCCAGCTCCGGTGAGTTTCTCATATTCGAAAGCACAGGAAGCTACTCGGAATTTGTGCAAAAGGGGTGCTGGAGCCACTTTCCTAATAATCATAGATGCTTTTTAGCATAAATCATTTTGTTTCTTTTTTTATGTAGGTACTTGCTACATATTTTCATGGAGGCAGGGTGTCTGGATTGGTGCATTGTCATAGGCCTGATTCTTAGAGAATCTTCAGTAATCAATCAGATTTTGGTTATTGCACAGTCTTCAGAGGTAGATGGAGAGATGTTACAAAACATAAAGATAGGACTTCATGCAGTGGACAGATGGGCCTCTACAGATTGGTAAGTACTGGTTCCCAGAAGCTTGTTAGCCTTGGTGAATCATATTCTTTCACATTAAGACTTACTATTTATTTATTTTGGGTATTCTTTAGGTTAGCAGAAATCAAGTTTCATATTCAGACACACACACACAATGCACATATATATATATATACATACACATATTTTTGGTACTGAGAATTGAATCTAGGACCTCACACATGCTAAGCTTCACTGAGCATTTTTTAAACTTTGAGACATTGTTTCACTGTATTGCCCAGGCTAGCCTCAGACTTGTAATCATCCTGTCTGGATCTCTTTAGTACCTGGGATTACAGGCATGTGCCACCATGCCTGGCTCATACATTCACTCTTAAGGATACTTTCTTTAGTAATTGTTTTGTACCCAGCCATATGAATGAGTAATGTTTATAGTGGTGATCAGTTTATAATGTGAATGTGTCACTGACTTAAGATGATGCAGTATAAATGATCTTCAAATTAATCTGCAATTTAAGATTTGTAGTTTTGTGGTTGCAATAAAAATGCTTGGAAAAAAAACATTCAATGGAAGTAATGGGTGGAAGTTCAGAGCCTTGGACTCTAGCAACACTTGTTTTAAAATATCAGTCCTTGCTCCTACAGCTCAAAAATTTGATTTGAGCCTATGCTATCTATGTACAGCTTCTTCTGTGCTGGGCAGGGCATTTAAGAAGCCTTCCCTCCTCTCGTAATCTATTGCTTCCTTCACTGTATCGATGTTTACTAGAAGTGTGTCCATAACATTTTGTTAGGTCTTTTGAATTACAGCATATGAGAACTAATTTTCTCCCCTCTACTTAGCCCTGGATATAAGCCATTTTTAAACATCATTAAGCCACAACTGCAGAAGCTCAGCGAGATAACAGAAGAGCAAGTCCAGCCTGATGCCTTCCAACCAATAGCAGTGAGTAAGACTCCTGAACAGACTAGCCCTAGGGCAGAGGAGAGCAGGGGCTCCTCTGGCCATGGAAGTGTCTCCCAATGTGAGGTTGGGGGTAGCAGTATAGTTACCCGGAAAGAAGAGGACACAGCCCAAGCAGAAGAGGAGGAACCATTTCAGGATGGGACTTATGACTGTTCTGTGTCCTAACAACAGTAAGTAATGTCACAACAGGCAGTATTAGCACCGGTGTGCAGCTGAGTGCACGGTGACCTAGTTGAATGATTTAAAAGGAGAACTCAGCTCAGAGACTCTTTGGTAAAGTATTATATATTTTAATGAACTCTTTCTCTAAGAAATCTCTTGGACTCCATTAAAAATGTGATATGAAATAAAACATCTTTCATAATTTTTTTTAAAGCTGCAGTGGAAATGCTGTTGTACAGGTGTACATTTTTTTTGTTTTATTCAAAGGTTGGTAGCTTGCAAACCATAGGGATAATTTTGTCCTGGATGAGCTTTTTCATAACTTAGTTTCATATGTTTTATGGTTCAGCACCAGGTCTAAACTGCTTTTTTTAAAATAAATGCTAAGGTGCTTGCTGTAGCTCATTGAGCACTTGAGCTACCTGTTTGCTTCCTTGGATAGAGCTCACTGGACTCTCTATTTGGTTCTCTGAAAAGATGACTACCCTTGCACTTATGCTAGTGCAATGGAGACATTCTCCTTGACTTTACTAGCCTTTAAATCTCAGACCTGAATTGATGAAAGCTTATTTACCTGTCAGTTAATGTGCCTGTTTTTAGCTAGCTTGATTCCTACTAGATCCACTAGGCAGTGGTATGAGGGGTTATCAATCATGCTGATACCGCTAAACTATTTTGTATCAAAAAACTATACCTTTTTGTAAATGCTCTTGTGTAAAATATACTCAAAGGCACTGTTCATATTTCTAAGGCCTGTGTTATAATTTGTAAGGTTTTACTGGATTCTGCATGAGTAAAGATACCTACTCTTAGAATAAAGACAGGGCTTGCGCTTCTTTCCAGAAATGAGCAGCCTTCAAAATGGAACATGCATTTAGTGGCTTGGTCATAAAGTCACAGAAATGGTCCCAATGATCATGAAGTGGAACAGGTTTTGTTCAAATTAATGTTTCTTATTTATTGCTTTTGTAAATTGAATAAAAATGGACTTTGATGTAAATACACAGCTGAATCCTATATTATCATGGCTACTAAAAATATGTAAAGAATGCATTCTTTATTGTAAACTTTAAAAATATTTTATGTATTTCTAGATATGACAAATTTTAGTTTTCATACATTATGAAAACAGTACCACATATTCCTTAATTGCTTCTGACTAAACACATGTCCACTATATGTAATTCTGATTATCTAAAAACAGTATTAATTTAGATAGGTTGTTTGTACTGTGCAATTTGAACAAGGAATGCAATGTAATTTTTTTTATAAAAACGTGTTTATTTTTGTAAGTGTATTAGATGTGGACCAAATCCATACCACTATGTGAAACAGCCTCTCTTCATAGTGCAGTTATAGTTTAGAATTAAAACCTGGTCCTCTATCCTTGCTTTTTAAAGTACATAGCTAGATTTAGTTGTCTGTGCCAGATTTCCTTTGAAGGGAAACTCAATCATTTTGAAATTGCTTATTTCAAAATTTATCAACTATTGAAAATAATAAGAGTTTGGTAATTTACTATTATTTACTTATTACATTACAAGTGCAATAACTTCACATAATAAAACTCCTGAATGGGTGGAATATGTGACTACTGGTACCTGGTTCTTCTGGTGCTCCTTTTTAAGTCGTCAGTTCAAACCACCTTTCTCTAAATCTCAAGATAAAAAAATAAACCAGTGCAAAAAGAAACTAAACTGAAATATCTTCTCCTGTCCTAATCCATTAGGGGGAGAAAAAACAGCATTACATTTGTGTGTCATGTGAATATTCAGTCAATAAAAATGACTTACCATTTAAACAGTTGTGATCTTTTCAGATATCCTAAATAAAACACTGCTGAATTCATCTCACATCCTTGAAAGCAGGACACCAATAAGTTAACATTATTTCTGTAATTTAGCCTGTGAAACTTTTCTATAAAATGATCACTTTTTAATTACCAGATATAAGCTGTCTCAAGGTAAGAAATTTGGCAAGGTTACAGAAAATTTCCCTCTGATAGTTTGTTATATACTTTAATTTTTAAAAGCTCACTTTATTTTGCTATCTTATTTGGTTAAAATACGAACTGTTTAAGCCATAATTTAACCAATGCACTTAAATATTCAGTGTAACTATTTGAAGGTTACTAAATACATTTAAATTATTTGCTGATACCAAAATAAGTCATGGGGTAGAGTCGAGATTCACTTGTAATTAAAATTGCTACTGCCTCTGTAACATGTATTTTTTACTTGGTAAAGAGCAATAAAACCATTCTACAAACTTGTTTGTTTATCATCTTAGGTTAACAACAAAAAGTATGTATTTATTAAAAGCCTCAAATATTCTAAGACAACATGGTTGACACAACCCTGTGTTGGTTTCCTGCTCTTCTCATTCATTCATATATATATATATACACATTATACTTTTCATTTTATAATTCTACCTTTTCGAGTTCTCCTTATGAACTGGCTACAAATTCAGACATTTATTTAAAAGATTTGTGTGTAGATGTAGAATTGGGAACATCAAGAGTTGGCAGCATCCTAGAAGCCTGACAACAGACTATTGGAAGAATAGTTGTATTCATAGCATGAGAAATGGTCGAAATATAATGAAATATAGAAAATTGTTTACTGTATAGGCTCCATTAAGAAAACAAAATTTTATATTTTAAGTGTACAGGAGATTAGACATCATCTTTCAACAGGACTAAAAATGATTTTCCTGTATTCATAAATCTGGTCATCTGTAAGACATTAGTGGAATCACAGCCAGACTTTTCTGTCAGGGATCAGATTTTCAATATGCATCCCCGTTTGCCACTACTTTGTTCCTTAAGGTTGTGTATGTGATGTTATATTGTGTGGATGTTTACCCATTCAGCAGCTGAAGGTTTAGTCGGTTTTTTCCCCCACTTTTTGGTCATTGTAAGTAACACTACTATGAACATTCACATATAATAATTCCTCCTTATCTATAGTTTTCACTTTCTAAAGTTTCATTTACCTACAGTCAGCCTGACCAAGGTCCAAAAATATTAAATGAAAAATTGCAGAAATAGTTTTAAATAACTTTTATTACAGCACATTGTGCCTAAAACATAAACTTCATCTTGGGTATGTATGTATAGGACAAAGTTTCAATAGTACTACCCAGTTTTAGGGTTATCTTGGAGTGCATAGGGGAATTTTAGAGTGCATCTCCATGGGATAGGTGCATTACTGTATATGTTTCTGTATGGACATGTGTTCATTTCTCTCTGAGTAGAACTGCTAGGTTATAATGGTGTAACTGGTTAATTTCTTGCAGAGATGCCAAACTATTTCAGACTGCTTGCACTAACATTTAGAAAGCAGTTTACAGAGGTCCCATTATCTACTACCAAAACTTGCCTGTTTTTGATCAAAGCCATTCAAGTTGTATATGAAATGGAGATGTCACTATAATTTCTGTTGTGCTTATTAAGAGCTAATGTATAACTATTCATACAATTATTAGCCGATTGTAGATCATCAAAGAAAAAAATGAAAAGATCACTTATCTCCTTTTATCATTGGTACATGGATTCTTTATATATTCTGGATACTAAATCCATGTCACTATAATTTCTGTTGTGCTTATTAAGAGCTAATATATAACTATTCATACAATTATTAGCCGATTATAGATCGTCAAAGAAAAAAATGAAAAGATCACTTATCTCCTTTTATCATTGGTATGCATGGATTCTTTATATATTCTGGATACTAAATCCATATCAGATATGTGATTTGCAAAAATTTCATCCTATCTTTTCTAGTATCCTTTCAAACACGTATGTTTCATTTTGATTCTAATTTACTTTTCACACTTATTGGTTATACAGATTAATAGGTTCCATTTTGGGAAATTAGTAAATGCACATACATTGATCACCACCCTCCCCAGTTATCCCTTTGCCTTGCCGTCCTAGTTTCACATGGGATAGGGATTTCAATGCATATATTTTTCTCATATCTATCCCCCTATTACCCACCATTACACCTTTTCCCCCTATCCTAATAAGCTGCCTTCTAATTTCTTGTCTTCTCTTTTAGATTCAACATATTGGGGAGAACATGTGATATTTGTCTGGCTTATTTCACTCAATATGCTTGTTCTTCCCTATGCCTAAATAATATTCCATTGCGTGTGTATATACTATAATTTTCTTTACCCATTCATCTGTTGATGGGCACTTAGGGCTGGTTCCTTATGCAAATACAGTGTCCTAATAGTATGCTGACTTTAATTCCTTCAGGTATATACCAAAGGAGTGATATAGCTGCATCAAAAGGTACAGTAGTTCTACTTTTGTTTTTTGACTGATTTTGACAGGGGCTGTACTAATTAACTACCCTTGCACCCTCACTAGCCTTTATTAATTTCTTGATGATAGCCATTCTGAGATAAGATTGAATTTCAATGTAGTTCTGATTTGAATTTTCCAAATGATTTAAAATGTTAAACATTTCTTCTATACAGTATATCCCCATAAAGTTGTGGTTCAGAGTTTATGGCCTCAGTCGTTCAGATTTTTCCTTAGAACCTAACTAAAATTTGGGGAAACCCCTGCAATTTCACAGAATATCCTCTGCAATTGTTTATTTGGCAGGAGCTTTGCACGTAGGCAATCCGAGAGCATTATTCAGTTCCCCTTGCTGCTGGCTGGCTGCTGGCCTGTAACCCATCTCAGGCAGATGACACCAGCATTCCATCATTGCAGGTTGCTGTACCACATGTAACTGTCTCCAGTGTTCTCAGTTTTGGTCTTAAAGCCCTAAGATGCCACCAAAACACCCTGAGCCTTCTAAGCCTTTATTAATACAGTATTTTATTAAATTACATAACTGTGGGAGACATAGCATATTTAGGTTTTAAACTATAAAAATAGGCATTATAGGCAGGCATTTTTCTGACCATATTTGAAATTTGCAAGTTTTCACAATTTGCAAATGCTCTAAGAATGTAACTCCCATGAATTTCGGGGGCCCACTGTACTAACTAGCCATTTTGACTGGCGTGACGTGGACTCTCAACATAGTTTTGATTTGAATTTTATCAAATGCCTAAAGATGTTAAACATTTAAAAAATACTTATTGATTACATGTACTTTGTTTTACAAGTTCATTATATATTAATTTGATATTAATATTAATATTATTTGATATTAATCCTCATAACTAGTAAAGATTTTCTTCCATTCTATAGGCTGTTTTTCAGTTATTTCCATTGCTGTGCAGAAGCTTAATTTGATGTAGTCCCATTTGTTGATTCTTGCTATTATCTCCTGTGCTACTGGGAGTCCTATTCAGGAAGTCTTTGCCTGTGGCTTCAAGTGTTTCCTGTGTTTTATTAGCAGTTTGAAAGTTTCAGAGGTTTGTGATCCATGTATTAACAGAATGAGATGATCAGTTTCAGTCTTCTACAAGTGATGTCCAGTTTTCCTAGCACTACTTGTTTAAAGAGATTGCCTTCTCTCCAACATACATTTTTGACTCTTTGTTGTGTAAGTTTGTTTCTGCATCCTCTATTCTGTTCTATTACTCTACATGTCTATTTTTTTTTTTTTATACTGGGGATCAAACTCGGGACCTTGCACTTTTGAGGCAGGCAGTGGAACCACTGAGCTAAATCCCCGGCCCTCTATGTGTTCTATTTTTATGCCAATATTATGCTGTTTTTGTTACTGTGGTTTTGTAGTATAATTTGAAATAGGGTATTGTGATGCTTCCAGCCTTACTCTTTTTGCTTAGGATGCTTTGGCTATTCTGGATCTTATTCATATGAATTTTAGGATTGTTTTTACTAATTCTGTGAAGAATGTCATTGGTATATTGATTGAGATTGCACTGAATCTGTAGGTTGCTTTTGGTAATATGGCCATTTTGACTGTATTAATTCTGCCAGTGCAAGAGCATGAGGGGCTGGTCTTTCTTCACTTTTGAAATTTTCACTATAGAGGTCATCCACCTACTTGATTATTTTATTTGAAGCCATTAGGAATGGAATTGTTTTCCTGATTTCTCAGCTAATCTATTTTTAGTGTAAAGACTAGTCTTTTACTGGTGTATGCTAAAGCTTTTGACTTTTAAAGTTGATTTTATATACTGGTATATTGCTGCATTCTTTTGTCAGCTCTAAAAGTATTTGGTAGGGTCTTCCTCATACAGAACCATATTATATACAAAGATAATTTGACTTCTTTTCTGTTGCCTAACCAGCTAAAATTTCAAGAACTATCCTGACTGAGTTGTGAGAGTGAACATACTTGCCTTGTTTCTGACCAGTTTTTTTCACTGGTTGCCTTTGTTTTTGGTGTCATAGGCTAGGGAGACATTGCCTAATCCAAGTTACATTTTTATGCCTTCTTTCCTCTATGAGTTATATAGATTGTAGCTCATACATTTAGGTCTCTGATCCATTTTCAGTTAATTTATATGGTATGAAGTAGTGGTCTGACATCATTTACGTATAGATATTCAGTTGTCTGAGCACCATTTATGGAAAAATATTTCCCCATTATCAAAAACTGTATAAATGTGTGGCCTTATTACTGGATTTAATTACAATGATCTGTGTTTGTGGAATTCTTTAATTTCAGTTTTGGACTGTGTATAGAAATAGAATTGATTTCTGTATATTGATACTGGGTCATGAACATCACTGAAGCTAACAAGGTTTTCGGGATTTTCTATGTAGACAATCGTGTTATTTGCAACTAGAGATGGTTTTAGCTTTTTCTTTCTTTTGCACAGTTGCCCTGGCTAGTCACCAGGAAATAGAATTGGCATGATGGATATCTTGTCTTTTCTGACAGTATATGATGTTCACAGATGACCTTAACCAAGTTAAGTTCTAAATCTGTTGAAGATTTTTATCATGGAAAGGTTTTAAGATTTGTAGAAGAAAATTTTTTGCATCTACTGAGGTTCCTGTCCTTAATTCTACAAATATGGGCATGTCACACTGGTGGGTTTTCCAAAGTTGAACCAACCTTGCATTCCTAGGGTGAATTGTGGTTATGCTGTGGGGCCAAACTGGATAAAAGAAGTTGTCAACATGTTTTTTTAAATCATTATATTTTTGACATGATGTGCCCCAAATTTCTGTATGTTAAGTGAAAACAGATACAACAAAGCATAACTGTATCTTGGCTTTACTGGGCCTAAAAGAAGTAGACGTTGGGCCGGGGATTTAGCTCAGTGGTTCCGCTGCCTGCCTTGCAAGCGCAAGGTCCTGAGTTTGATCCCCGGTACCAAAAAAAAAAAAAAAAGTTTAGAAATAAAAGAAGTAGAGGTATATTAAAGAGTGGATATTTTTTATGTTTCACTTTGTACTGAAGTTCTGAGGGAACTCATCCAGAAAACTAAAAAACTTGGACAGAGACTTTGGATCTAAAGTATATGCTTTGTTTGGTTATTCTGCCCTTCCCTTGGATGGAGATTAGAATAAGTAAGGGGGTCACTCTGGCTGAAAGGTAATTTCTTCCCTCTGTCCTATCCCCGATAAAGGAACATAGTACTTAATTAGCCTTTTGGTGATTTCATCCCCCAAGGGAGATGACTTTAAACTTCCAAATGTGACGAAGTTCACCATTTAAGTCATTTTAATTTCTGTGAAACTGAGATGCACCATTTCATTCCAAGATCAAAAAAGATTCCAACTGATGGAAACGTTGGGTTCTTTCTTCCTATCACTTTATACCCACATGAGCCATCTATATTTTTAACAGCAATTAAAAAGGCTGTGTAGACTTGAAATATGGGGATAAAGCATAAGCAGTTAAAGATGTTTTTCTGTTTAACAGATACCAACCAGTATGTTTATTTCAGTAACATTATAAGGTAACAGTTCTCAACAAGTCAGCAAACTAATGAAACACATTCATGCTTCCTTAGCAGGTAATATCTTAGTGAATCCTCCCATGTTTAATTATATCTGCTAAGCACTCCACGCAACAATCATTCTTAGATCAAACATAAAAATCATTTTGAAATGGCAGATCTTCACACTGTCCCTAAATAGGTGGTACTGTGCTACTTGTTTTTTATAGAATTTAAATGTATGTTAGAGCTTTAAATGATTGAGAAACAGTTTACCCCGAGGGTCGCTTAGGCAAATGTCATTCCAATCACCAAATTTTTTTTTTTTTTGGTATCAGGAATTGAACTCAGAACCTTGCACCTGCCAGGCAGGCATGGCGCCTCTGAGCTAACTCCAGCCTCACTCAATTCTTGTATTGAATAAATTTGATAAAATTATTTTTATATTTCCTGTTACAAAATTAAAAATATGCAACTTTTGATCACCTTATATTTAAATAATTGGTTTGGTAAGTGGTTAAAAGGGTAGGAACTAACAGGTTTAATCTCAGAGACTGACATTGTGTGCTTATTACAGGGTCATGAATACTGCATGTAATTACTTGACCATTTCTGGCATTAAAACAACCTCCCAGATACTAAGCATGAACATCTTGTTACTGACTTTGCAAAATAACAAAGCTTCATCATGCTAAAGAAAACGAGAATTATTTGCATAGGGAAATAATACCAAAAAGGAAAACCATGATTATTACTGAAATGTCTTTCTTCCCAAAGGAAAAATAACAAAGGAGCAATTTGTTTTTCTATAAATGTCTAATAATCTTTTTCAGATTAACCACAGGGACAATACATAAACTATATTATGAAATTGAGATATTACTACTGTTACTTTTCTTTACAACTCTGTATAAACTATAAACCCTGCAGACCTTACCTATTTATAGCCACAAACTTGAATTTGAAGTACATGAGAGTGAAAAAATTTGGTTTCTATAAAGTATCAATTCTGGGAGGTAACAGCCAGAATGCAGAATGTTACATTCAGCTTTGGCTGCAGCCTTGCTATGTGCAGAGGCCCCGTTAGTTAAGGAACATGGTTAAGAAAGTGTACCACATAAGTCACACAAGCAGTTTTAGGAAAGTTTTCTCCTTTGACACACAATTACTATGCTCTCGGTGTTCAAGCAGATCTGAGGGCCTCTTTTCAAGAAGCATTCCTCTTGTTCCCACATGACCTGAGAAGTCTACTTTAAAAAAAAAAAAAAAAATAGGGTGTGTTCAACAAATACAAGCACAAATTTGTCAAACTTTTTACATTTCAGAGTGGGAAAAACATTAAGCCTAATTCACCACTAATCTCACCAAACTCTATTACTGCTGGAACCTAAAAATGATAAGTGCTACTTTGATACACACTAACAGCTATAGGTACAATGATCTAATTCCCATACAGGCCACAACCTCAAGTCTCAGGAAGGCTGGTCCCACTGGATAGTAAATTACCAAAAAAAACCCCAAAAAACTGGCTAAACAAAAAGAGGGACCAGGTGCATCAATAAAAGTGTGCCCTAAAGGATTAACCTTGTATAACAGAAGACTCCTATGAAACAAAAAGAATAAATACCTAAAATGCCACAGCTCTCCATCCCCATGATCCTCACCTTCCTCTCCTTCCACCCCAGAATGGCCATGCTGGCAGCTCTGCTCTGAGGAAGAAACTTCAAGTCATATACTTATACAATTTTCTGAATCAAAAGAACCTCTGAAAACCCAGAGGGAAATGTAACTGAACACATACTTCCTTTCTCAAACTGGTAACATAGAGAAAGGAGAACAAGTATGTGTCAGAGGAAAACCTCCTCAGGAGAGCAGCACACCAATGGCTCTCAGTGACAAACTGTCAGACAGTGAGTCACTAAGCTCAGGACCTGGCTCTATACCAGGGGTCCAGGTTTCAAGAATACTCCAGAGCAGTGATGGCAAACGTTTTAGAGCTTTCAATGATAATAAACAGCCAGTTACAGTACATGTGCCGTAAGTTCAACACCACTGCTCTAGAGGATGCCTAGCAAAGCATAAGCATTGTATGGCTGTGAGGGCCTCAAAGGTCCAATGCTGCTTCCATAGTCCACAGGGAAATCACCTTCCAGTGAACTAAAAGTTGTACCTCAAGGGGAGTCCCAACCCCAGCAAATGGTATTTTTTACCCACCATCACAACACATGGTCTTGGGCCTTAATTGGAAATGACTTGTCTCAGTAGTGGTCTGACATTCTATATCAGTCATGCCACAACTGCCTGTTATCACTGAAAGCTCTAAAAAGTTCACCATCACTGGTCTACACCTTTCTTGATTTTAAGAGGGACAACCACTGAAGTGGTTTACTGGCTCTTATCCTGAAGGTCATATAAAATGACATACCACAGTATGCAGTGGCAGCAACCACATGTATTTAAGTGCCAAAAACCTGGCATTTTCAAGTGTCAAAAAGGCCATGCCCTACTGTTCCATAGTTTAACCCACAGAGTGCTTGACTCTAAAGACTATTAACCTAAAAAGCTCTTTGAACATATGCTCATTAAAATTCATTGACTTACATTACAAATATCCATGTAATGTGGGGAGAAACTGTCACGTGGAGTATCCACTGGACATGTACTTGGAGCTCATCCACAAGATTAAAACACAAAGAGACTGTAAGTGCACACCCAGGCAAAGGGAAATACCCATTCTGGGAACTTCTCCTTCAGGGCAGTCAGTTGAGAGGATCTGTTGTCTTCTCCAGAATGATAGTGGGCAGCAATAGCCACAGTGACCATTCCTCCTTCAGGTTGTTCTCCCAAGACCTGCTGGAGAAAACCAGTTCTCTGAAGGCAGGATACTGAACTGATGTTCAGGATACAAGAACTAATGTTCTTGCTAAATACCACATAGGAGACTGTTCAATAAAACAAGAATTGCTGGGAAATGCCTACCTGCACTTCTATCCAGAACTGCCACACAGAGGCCTGGAGTCCATGGGAATAAAATACAAAATAGTCTCCCCCTTTACATGTGACTGGAGTGCCATTGCCAAGAGACCACTGAGAAATTGTCCATCCTTTGTGGGCTCGAACGTACAATGACATATGGCTTGGTCCTGTAAGATGAGCAAGAACAGTTGTATCAATCTTTTTTAAAAAGCATCAAAACACTTAACAACTAAACCATATTACGAAGGCTCATGCCTTGTATTATTTTAAATGTACTCACTACAGAGGTTTACTAGTTTGGACATTCAGAGTGTATCAAAAAGTAATGATGTACAGCAGAAAAGGCACAGAATCTAAATGAGAAAGCTGTGTTAAATGTTAGTATTGTCAAATGCTACATGACACTAACCATTCATGTAATAAATTCAAGTCACAATTTTTTGATCTGTGAAGCAGATTTTTTTAGATGATTATATTAGAAAGCATGTGAAAGTGTTGAAAAGACTGCAAAGTGCTATAAAAGTACTGAATAGCATGATTATGAATAGAATTGCAATTTTCAGACTTGATATATAACACTTTTCCTTTAAAGCATCAAGAACTTCTAGGAAACTAACAACAAAAGCTGTCAAACTAAAATAAAACTAAACAAAAAACCACAACCTCCATATAACCTTAAGATGGAGAATACCCAAATGTGAAGAAAGGATAAATTTTTAAATCTGAGGCATGGATGTGACCTACTCATGCAGGACCCATTCCTGTAGCAAGGCTTTGTGAAAAATGCAAACCAAGTAAGTCCACTCTAAATCTGAGCATGCTACAGTTCAGCTGGAGCAGGATTTAAAGGAAGTTACAGTGCACACTATTGAAATATTTTTCAAATCCAAAGCTTCTGGGAAAATAAAAGGAATGGTAGCATCCTTTTACATTTGGTTGGTGAAGGTGAAAGGTAATAAGGGCACATTTGTCCTGGAAAACAAAAGCCATCTACACCAAGACAAAATTTAAAACTTAAAGTCTGTTGTACTAACAGAAGAGGGGCACACTGGCTATTTTACAAGTTCCAGAAAAATAATGAAGAAAAGGATAAACAGGTGTATAGTTACTACAAAAAAAACCAGGACCAACACATCTCAAAAAATAACCATTAAGCAAAAGAAAACGCTATGACAAAATACACTCAAAAAATATTTGGGGATACAAAAAAACCTATAACCAATCAAATTTGTTTGGTATACAAACTAAAAGGAGAAATTGAAATCAAGAAAGAAAAGACAGACTAAGTTACAAAATTTCTATATGGTTCATTTCTAGATGTCCCCCAAAACTTCATGCACTCATAGGTGGGGCTCTGGGAAGGTGACTGGATCATGGGGTGAGATACTCAAGAGTGGACTAATCTGCAGATGAGTTTACAGTTGACTGTGATGTTGGGAGGCGAAGCCTAGTCAGAGGCAGGTCACTGGGGGGTGGGGCCTGGAAGTCTCTCTCCCTCCTCCATCTTTCTTCCTGTTGCCTGCTTCTCTGCCTTAGAACCAGCTTTGAACTGAAGCCTCTACAAACTGAGCTAAAATAAACCTCTCCTTTAAGTTGTAGGTGTCAGTTATTGCGTCTCAGTGACGAGAAAGTAACGAAAATAATGTCCAAGGCAGAATAAACTCAAATGACAAGCATGAAAGGATGAAAAGGTACTAAGAAAAAGAAAAGGCAAGTAAAAAAGGTCAGTGGGAGATAAAGTTAGAAGGCAGGTCAAAAAGAACCAACAGTCATTTAATTTGTATCCCTAAAGAAGTAAAACACTATAATGGAACATAACATACTTAAAAACTGTAATCTAAGAAAAATTTCCAGAAATAGACCAGAATCTACACACTGAAAAAGCCTATCTGGAACCACAGAATATCAACTCAGAATGAAAAACTTAAAGATGTACTCAAGTGAAACTATTAAGCTAAAAATAAGATCTTCGAGCCGGGGATTTAGCTCAGTGGTTCCACTGCCTGCCTTCGCAAGCTGAGGACCTGGGTTCGATCCCCGGTACCAAAAAAAAAAAAAAAATCTTAAGATTTTAAGATCTTAAGTAAAAATATCAGACGGCAAAAACAGTACACAAAACAAGGCAACAATGAGAACAAATTTTTTCAAATACTGGAAAGTTCAAACTAAACTTTTATATCCACCACTTGTCCTTCATTATCGGGGTAACAGAATACCAGTTTTTTGTTTGTTCATAATTAGGATTTTAGTACCAAATACATTATTAAAATACTGAGGTAATAGTGGAAGGGAAATATTACATGCTGTAACAAAAACTGGAAGAAAACTGAAGAGGGAAAGTATAGTAGGCAAACTTGGTTGACAGTTTGAAGAATGTCATGTAAAAATCAACACACAAACTGGTGGCCTACACCTGTAATCCTAGAACCGTGGGAAGCTGAGACACAAAGATTCCAAGTTTGAACCTACTCTGAGCAACTCAAGTGACACTGACTCAAAAAAGGGAGCTTGGAGATACAGCTCAGTGGAAAGGTTCTGGGTTCAATCTCCAGTATCCCCCCAAAAAAGTAAAAGGTCAAATAATACAGGATTAAAATAAACCATGAACCTTTGCAAACTTTAGAAAACAATTTTAATGAAAGCCAAGAATATGTATCTCATAGAACTAGGAATATTGCAAATAAAGCAACACATAAAATACTGTGACAAGACCAAACGTATCAGTCATAAAAATAAATGTAAATAGACCTAACTCATTCACTGAAAGAAAATTTTCAGCCTGGCTTACAAAGCTAGGCCTAATCATACACTCTATTCAAGAAACAGATTCAGAAAGGGTAAAAAAGTATGAACGAAAGTATTTGAGGCAAGTGGAAGTAATTTTATTTTCTTTGAGACAGCATCTCCCTATACAGTTCATGCTGGCCTTGATGTCACTATATAGCCCAGGTTGGCCTCAAACTTGCAGCAATCCTGCCTCAGCCACCCCAGTGCTAGGATTATAGGCATTAGCCACCATACCCAGCTGGAAGTAATTTTTTTAAGGGCCCATCTGATAGCCTGAAAGAATAGCATTGAAGACAAAAAGGCTTAAAAATAAGAGCACTTTTATTGCTAAAAGTCACAATTCACAATGCAGATACAAAAACTGTGAATACTCATCAAGTGACATAGCAAATACTTTATGAAGCAAAGCTACAAGAGATGACAGGCATGGTGGTACACACCTGTAATCCCAATACTATACTCGAGAGGTTGAGGCAGGAAGATAGCCAGCTGAAGCCCAGCCTGGGTAACTTTGGAAGAACTTGGCTCAAAATAAAAAATTTAAAAAAGAGTTGGAGATTAAGATCAATGCAAAGGCCACGAATTCAATCCCTAGTATGGGGGAGGGGGGACCACTAGAGATGCAAGAAACAGTATATACTGACTGGATAAGCATGTTGGGGTGATCAAAAATATGGTGAATGTTTAACATTACAGTAAAAGATAATTGTCAAGAATGATGAGGTAAGTGTTTGAAGTATGAGGGAGTACTTGAGGGGAATTAATGGCAATGTGTCTTTTACTGTAATACTTTTTTTAGTTTAAATAGTCACTGTATTTTTTAATCACACTGGGCTGACCAACTGTTTGTGGTCAAATAAACACTTTACAGTGTGTCCTCATCTCACACTGCAGCTTCTAGCTCTTCCCCAAATTCAAAATGACCATGAAAGGTAAATGTTTTGAATTAATTCAGGACATCAAAGTGGCCTTGACAACACAATGACAAAAGAAGAATGAATGACATGAATGATAGGATAATTGTTTAAAACAAGGAGGGGTATTTAGAGAGGAATTAATGTAAATATGTCTATTACAATAAAGTTTTAAATACAAATGATTCCCATGCATTTTGATCTCATCTCATTCATCCTAGTAAATCTGTAAGTCAAAAATATAAATTAAGCAAGGTGTGGTGGTACACACCCGTAATACCAGCACTTAAGAGGCTGTGGCAGAAGGATCACTGCGAGTTCAAGTCCAGCCTGGGATAGTAGGGAGTTTATTGTGGTCAATCTGAACCACATAATGAGACTTTGTCTTGGAAAAACAAAACCTATCTTGCATACAAATAAAGCAGGGATAAAAATAAAATTCATAGTAATAGTTTTTGTAGTAAAACTAAAAATGACTTCAGCAGCCAGGCATGGTGGTGCACACCTATAGTCCCAGCACTTGGGAAGATGAGGCAGAAAGATTGTGAATTCAAGGCCAACCTGGACTTCAAATTAACACCCTGTCTCAAAAAAAAAGTAGAGGGAGGGGTGTAAAGGGATGAAGTAACCAAAAGAAAGTACAAGGAAGTACAAAAGAAAAGCTGATATCAATGAAATGAAATAAAACGAAAACATAATTTTAATAGTCAAATACCCAATTGTTTTTAATTAATAATAGTAAGAAACACTTGTTAACTTGAAGAGAAATCACAAATACACAAAAAGTAACAAAGATGTCACAAATTTTTAAAATCATATTCACACTACTTTATGGCCTCCACACTTATAAATTTTAAAGTCCAAAAGAAACTAGTACTGTACTTTGCTAAGAAACTAGATTAACAAAACTGAACAAACATTTTGCTAGGAAAATACAGATTACCAAAAATGATACAGTCTAACCTGACCGATTTTCCTAGAAAAGGTTATTAAGATGTTCTCACTGAATTCAAGCTAAACTTTCAACCAGATAATTCCAATGTGCCATAAATTGTTGAAAGTAAAGGGAACGATAACTAATTCTTTTTTTTTTTTGGTACCAGAGATCGAACTCGGGTCCTTGGGCTTACACAGCAGGCGGTGAAACCACTGAGCTAAACCCCGGCCCACTTAATTCATTTTTATGACATAAATCTGATAAAAAGAATAAAGACAAAAATGTATCATTCATATGTGTGAGGCAAAATTTCTAACTAACACTAGGAAACATTAGCAAAGAAAATCCAGCATCACTTAAAATTGTAAGTCAGGAACTGGTAGAATATACCATGATAATATACATGATAGAGAAATGCTATGATAACCTTCATAGATGCTTAAAATTAAAAAGCCTTTCACAAAATTAAACATCCATTCCTGATTTTAAAAATTCAAGAAACTGGCAATTGATGAATACCTGCCGAGCATGATAAAAATACGTGCCTTAGTCCTAAGAGCAGTATTTTACATGTAGGAAAACATCACAGACCTCTGCCCTAAGAGAAACAAAACAAGGATGCTCACGATATCCATGAGTTCTATACTACGTTAGAATTATTGATAACTCAAATAATTAGAGGCTAAGAATTGGTATAGAAGTAGTATATTTGTAGATGATGCACAGTAGTCAATAAACCCCACCCGAGGTCTATTCTTTATATGGCCCTCAGGGTAGGAATGGTTTCCTTTTTTCTTTTTTTTTTTTGGTACCAGGGATCGAACTTGGGACCTTGCGCCTGTGTGGCAGGCGGCAGAACCACTGAGCTAAATCCTCGACCCTCTTACATTTTTTCAAAGGGTGATTAACAAAAATAGAAAAGAATCTGTTACATAGATCTATGTGGCAAAACCCAAAATATTTACTATCCAGCCCTTTATAAAGTTTTACCATCCCTGATAAACCTTGAGAATCTTGGAGTATGAATTATTAAACTAGCTCAAAAAATGAGTCAGTGAGGTAGTAGGATATAAAACAACCAAGCTATAGCCACAAAATCTAGATGAAGAAAATTGTACAACATTCCTAAAAGACATAAAAACATTTGAACAAAGGTAAGTCACTCCCAGTTTATGCATTGGATGACTTACCATTTCTTCAAATTTATTATGGTACTCAAAAAATACAAATAAGAAGCTTTTGGGGGGAGTTTTGTTTGGCTGGTGGTTTATGGTATTAGAGATTGAATCCAGAGAGCACTGAGTTATACGCCAGCCCTTTTTATTTTGAGACAAGGTCTCACTGTATTGTCCAGGCTACCCTCAAACTTGGAACCTTCCTGCCTCAGCCCCTGGAGTAGCTGGGATAACAGGCATGTGCCCCCACACCAATGTTCTATATTAGAGTTAGATGTTATTACCTACATTCATGTGAAGAAACAAACATGCAAAAACAGCAAAGAAAATACTGAAAATCTAAAGCTAAAAAAGAGCTTAATTTTTCCTATCATTTAGCCTCTATAATCATTAAACTATAAAGCTGTAATTAAAAGTGTGATAAGTGGTACACAAATAGACCCACGCCGACACAGTTAAATGATTTTTGACAAATGCACCAAAAGAAGTCAAAGGGAAGGTCTTTTTAATCAGTGGTACTAGGACAAGTGAATATCCATAAAGAAAAAAAGGCCTGACACTGACACCTCACATCACATCCAAAAATTAAAGTGGATCATTAGTCTAAACATAAAAACTAAAGCTATGAAGCTTTTAGGAGAAAACATAAAGAGTATTTTTGCAGTCTCTGGGTAGGCATGTATTTTTTGGAGCTAATATACAATGCACTTATACTAAGAAAATCCTATAAATGAGACTTAAATTTTTAAATTTCAGGGCCAGGAATGTAGCTCAGCAGTGCAGCCTCTGCCTGGCAAGCATGTGTCCCTGAGTTTGACTCCCAGAACAAGAAAAAAAATTTTTTTTTTAAATTTCAGTATTATAAAACATAACGTTAAAAAATGAATAAAACGGCTGTGGTGACACATGCCCATAATCCTAGCAACTCACGAGGCTAAGGTAGGAAGACTGCAGCTTTCAGCCCAGTTTGGAGAATTTAGCAAGACCCTGCCTCCCAAAGTAAAATAGGCTGCAAATGTAGCTCAGTGGTGAAGCCGTGTATCCTGCATGCACAAGGCGCTGGGTTCAGTCCTCAGCATGCATAAAGCCAGGGAGGGATGAAAGGGAAAACTGGCATCTGACTTACCTGTTGCTTCGAAGGTCAACTTTACAGAATCCCAAGGTGTCTGTTCTTTGGATATAAGTCTGAAATGAGCAGGATTTCTTGGAGAAACTTCTGGGGCAGGAAAATACCAGTTTTTCCTATTTGGAAAGGTAGCTTCAATATTTAGGATGCCTTATTAGCTCATAGCTATCCATTTCACAGTTCGTGTTTAGAATACACGAACACATCTTTGAATAAGAAACAAACTGACAGGTATAATAAAGGACACTAACTTCTCTTAATAAAACGTTCTCAACTTTATAATACCTAGGTAACTCCTTTGTTCTTAGTTTAACTATAAATATTGCCCGAAAGTATCACATATTCTGAGGTGAAGCCTTTGGAAAGTAATTGGATTATGGGACACTACAGACTTGCTGTTAAGTAGGTTTTTGTTGGTCAGAAGAAGGCGATAATTGAGGTTGTGATCTTCAAGGGTGCATCTCCCTCCCTGGCTCCTCCCTTCCCTCCTGGCTTCCTGGCTGTCAAGACTAAGCAGCTTTCCTCTGTGGCAGCCTCTTCCACCATGCCCTTCTTGCCTTGAAGCCAGCCAACCCTGAACTGAATCCTCTAAAACTGTAAGCCAAAATAAAGGACTCCTTCTTTAAATTATGGCTGCTGGGTATTTTGTCCTAGAAACAAGGAAAAGTGACTAAGACACTAGGTGATCTTGATTTCCACTATATATCCTATCTCTTCTCATCCAATTCTTTACTGCCAAATTATAAAAACTTCCCAGAAATAAAACCATTTGAGACTGATGCTTAACTGCTATCTATTATATTCTTAAGGAATGTCTCCCTTTCCAAGTGCTCAGGTTTCTAGAAGACTTTTTAAATTTGTTTGTTTTTTGTTTTTTGGGGTACTGGGGATTGAACTCAGGACCTTGCACTTGCAAGGCAGGCAGCAGCACCACTGAGCTAAATCCCTGGCCCCAAGACTTTAAATTTGAAAAAACAAAACTATCCTTCTGAGTTAAATTTCAGTACATTAAAGTAGTTTTGTAGTGATTGAAAAATAATATAAATACCACTGGAGGGTTAAGGGTATAACAGCTTAAAAGTAAGAGTACTAATGTACTGATAAGACTTGAGAACGAACTAAACCCCAACTTATGTAGAAAAGCAATGAACGAACCTGATCAGAAAGTGCACTGGAAGATACCATGGGAACCCACAAAGGGGTGCGTTCTCCTCACAGTGAGCTCGAATGGTATCATTGATCTCAGGAATGTGAGGTGTTATATGAGACATTCCAGTATAATCAAACCCATTGATCCATATTCCAGAGTCCTTTTTAACTATGTTTCCTTCTAAGTCATGAAATGTTCTAGTCATATGCTGAAAACAAGAGTAATGAAAAAACCGTTTCAACTACTTTCTACATTCCCAACCCAAATTAATAAAGACTGAATAAAATATGACCATACCAAGAAATGAAAAAAGAATGCTCAATGAAAAAAGAATGCTTAGGTTTAGTAAGATATGGTTAGAGATTTTTTTAAAACTGAATGATGGATATATATGTGACCATCTTATATCTACAAATATATTTTTATATTTTAATTTTATATAAAAATTTTGGTTGGGTACAGTGATAGGCACCTGTAGTCCCAGCTACTCAGGAAGCTAAGGCAAGACAATCACTTGAGCCCAGGAATTCAAGACCAGCCTGTGCAACACAGCAAAACCTCATCTCAAAAAGAACAAAAAAATTAAAACCAATAGGTCTTAAAAAACATGAATTTTATACCTTTTAGAAAAGGATTTAAAATACAGTACATCCTAAACACATTACACATTCATAATCATTTCTCTTCAATGTGTTACATGAAGCTAATTCATATTGCAGAGAAAGAGGTAACAGGCTTGTGCCTAATCCAATTCTGTGAAAAAGCGCCAAGCTTCATAAGGAATAGTTTTATTAACCACTTACCAGTCCAATTATTTAAACGCAGGATGACCAAAAATTGCATATTTTTCATCAATTTTTATAATAGAAAATATAAAAACTACAATTTTATCAAATCTATTCAATACAAGAATCCACTGGCCAGGCATGGTGGCACATCCCTGTAATCCCAGTACTCAGGAGGCAGATGCAGGAGGATCACCTCCAGTTCACGGCCAGCCTGGGCTACATAGTGAGCTTAGGGCCAGCCTGAACTACAAAGCAAGACCCTGTCTCAAAAAGACGAAAAAAAAAAAAATCTACTTATTGAAATGCCACCTGCCCAAGTGATGCTCGGGAGAGTCAGTACAGAAATGTGCACTGCCTGAGTGATGCTCAGGATAACCAGCCTGAAAAAAATCAAACAGTAAAAGAAAAAGGGCTAGGCCAAATTACTCACTATATAAGGTTTTACTGGAACACAGCCACACTCATTGGCTAAGGTCATCTATAAAGTCATCTACGGCTGACTTTGCTCTACAAAACAGATTAGCTGTAGTAAAAACTAGTAGCTCACATGGCCTACTATATTATCTTCCCCTTCATAGGTAAATTTGTCAACTTCTGGTGTACCAGCTCTGTAGAGCTGAAGAACCTCAAAACAAATGACAGCAGGATTTTAATTTTAAATAGAAATCTAGCTTTTCCTAAATCTTACTAGCATGATTATAAAAATTAGCATGCCAATAGAAACTACAACCTCCAGGGCTGGAGATTTAGCTCAGTGGTTCCACCGCCCATCTCGCAAATTCAAGGACCGAGTTCGATCCCCAGTACCAAAAATAAATAAATAAATAAATAAACTACAACCTCCTAAAAACTCTGTTCTTCACTTAAAGGTTTTGCAAATTATAAAAGTCACATAAAATATAGCAGTATTCTTCAGGACTTAAAGCAAGGCACATCTAGCCCATTTTCAAAATCTAAGTATTTTTAATTTTTCTAGTCCTACAATACAGTGGACCCTCAAGTTATGACCGGTGTGACATGGGAACAAGTTCAGTTAATTAGGTTAATGGAAGATTCATCTGCATTGTTATCTATAGCATGTATACAGATAAACATCCAGATCTCAACTGTATTGACTTACAACCAACTTGAGTTACAAACAGCCCTCAGGAACTGATCTAGTTCGTAAGTCAAGGGTCCACTGTACCCAGGTTATGCTCCTTTGACATTCTGTTTGACTATTCACAACCTGTAACACAGATGACTGAAAATGAAGCTGAGGCTTAATACCAGCTCTAAAAGAAAAAGCTACAGGAAGTTCTATATCTCATTTTAATAATCCCTAAGTTAGGCTATTTTCATCATCACACCATCATATATTACTGTGAATGTTACTTGAGTTTTTGTTTATTCAGGTACTGGGAACAGAACCCAGGGCCTTTGCACTCAACTACATCCCTGGCCTTTTTTTTAATTTGGAGACTCCCTAAGTTGATAAATTGCCCCAACTGGGCTTGAATTTGTGATCCTCCTGCCTCAGCCTCCCAGGGTATTGGGACTACAGGCTTGCATTACTATACCCATCTAAACTCAATTTTAACATTTTAAAATATCTTATTTTATTTTGCTAGTTAATTGTTAAAGATCTTTACTCAGGCTGTAGACATTTATGCAATCTGTTTTTCTAAAAGCTCATCATTCCCTGCTATGTATTTGCTCTTGTTTTTCCAAACAAGTAGTTTTATAATTTTAGTGGTAGTTAAACATTTCCAATTCTATCTCTGAGGAGAAATATGTCTATCTAATAAGAATGCCCCTTGATAGTCTTTCTCGTCACTGCTTTAAAGTACAAAAGAGTAGAGAACTAAACAGGTCAAGAGCAGGAAGTCAATTGAGTTTCCTGTTCACTACTAAAGCTCAAAACACACAAGGAGAATTTCTCCTCCTGAATCTCAAATAACTCCTACAAAATTGCTCTTACCTGAAGAATCATTCTCTTTGGCTTTGGATTAGCAGGATTGGAGCTGTATGGAAAAAAGGTTCCACTGCAAACAAGGAGGAATGTAACTGTACATACCAAAGTTAGAGATATGAGGGTTTTTTTTGTGCTTCTGGCAAGGTAGATGAAGTTCATCTAAAACACAAAAATAGAAAAATTACTATATTCACTGGCAGAAAGGTGTTTTGGTTTTTTTATGTTACTAGGAACTGAACTCAGGGGTGCTCTATCACTGAACTACATCTCCAGCCCTTTTTATGTTTTTATTTTGAAACAGGGTCTCACTGCATTGCCCAGGCAGGACTGGAACTTATGATCCTCCTGCCTCAGCTTCAGTGAGTCCTGCGATTGCAGGCATGTGCCATCATGCCCAGCTCAGAGACATTTTTAACTGACTGTATTTTGTAACAGGCATTATTCAGCAGATAATGAAGAAAATTTATCACCATGTGAAAATAAAGCACTAATTTTAGGGTACACAAGTCAAAGCCTAGGAAATGACAGATACATCCAACTGGCCAAAATGGTGCCTTCCAACAGGCAGCCAGAAACCAACGGGGAATAAAAGAAACTGAGCACCGTGTTCTTGTGCTCAATCAGCAAAGAGAGCAAAGAATGTAAACCCATCATCAGCCAAGCCATCACCTTATTTTATTTGATTTTATCAATGCTCTTCAATAGTGCACCACTGAACTGCACCAAAAATTAGAATATCAAGGGTTTCATTAAATTACCAAACATGCTAGGCATGGTGGCACACACCTATAACTCTAACATTCTGGGAGGCTAAGGCAGGACAATAGCAAGTTCAAGCCCACCCTAGGCAACTTAGTGAGACATTGCCTCAAAATAAAGAAAAAAAAAAAAATAGCTGCACATAATCGCACATGCCTATAATCCCTGCACTTTGGCAGGCTGGGGCAGGAGGACTGAAAGTTCAAGCCCTGACTGGGCATCTTAGCAAGACCTTGTCTCAAAAGTAAAAATTTTAAAAAAGGGTTAGGGAGATAGCTCAGTATAAAGGCCCTGGGTTCAACCCCCAGTACCAAAAACAAACACAGTAATAACAGTTTTTTAAAGAGGTATCTAGAGGTTTATTAGGCAAAAGTTTGAAAGCACACACTCAGAAATATAGTGCAGGCCCTCAAGACAAAAGGGGTATTGTGATCAGGAACTGGGTGTATTTATGGAGCCTGGGGTGAAATTTAAAATCAGGAGTAGGGGGAGGTAGCTCAAAGCAAAGGCCCTGACTTCAATCCCCAGTACAGCAAAAAATAAAAATAAATAAATAATAAACTGCCAAATGTAAGCTTTTTAAACTTAAGTAGATCTGTAGTATTTCAATAAAACTCAAATTCCATTCAGTATTTCTATACTATGCCAAAGACTTGGATGCATATAAACTAAGCAGTCAGATGTGCCTTCAAGACTGCCTGTGAACCTGCAACTGAGGAAAAATTATTACAAAGTAATACTGTCCCTTTAGATCATAAGTTAACCAGTGTCAACACAATCAAAACAAGTCTGAGCTTGGGCAGTAAAGTTAATGGCTCTGTCTCAAGCTGACATCCAGAAAACACTAAATATACTTAACTTTTTAATCTGTAACCAAATCATTGAACTGAAAACTGGAGAGGACTCACAAGACTCATTGATGGTCTGAAATGGTCTGAAAAAGCCATTTTGATAAACAATGATCTAAACCCAGATCCAGCCTTCTTTACCTAAAAGCCCACCACCTAAGTTCAGTAGGTAGAAAATACCATGAATGCAAAAATATTTTCATTAGTAAGAAAATGAAAAATTAAGCAAATATTCATAATCTACTCTACTATGCAAAGTGAAAGGATTTTCCTATCTAAAATGTTCCAAAAATCTATCAGGGATAATCTCCAACAGAAGAGTAGCATTCTTGGGTGAAAGATCTTATGTTTGTACACTGTAATTAAAGAAATACGACAAAGCACCCAGGATTTAAAGTAGTAAGTCAGCAAAACAAAATTCTTACAAAGTATCAAATATCTTGCCAAGGGAATGAGTTTCCCATCTACTGGGAAGCTGGTAAATTTAGGAAAAGAGAATCTTTTAGGTTAAAAAGAAAAATCCTTCCTGTCATAATCCTGTGGTTTCTATCATTCTCAAACCAGGTATTCCCAAAGCTGTCATAAAAATCTCACTTTAAGCTATCAATATTCAAGGTTCCTCTTCTCTAAAACAGGAGGCTCATCTTCTGCCTCTTTCCCTGGAAGAGCCACCATGGTAATAGTGATTAAAAAGAATGGCAATCAGAGAACAAAGGGGAAGGAAGAGGTTAATCACCTTTCCAATTCTACTTCTGCTCTAAATGTTTACCCTATGTCATTTTTTTTCCTTAAATTCTTTTATTGGTACATTTTAGGTATACAATACGTTTACATTTATCATTGAGTGCTTGTGCCTGTACATGTATCTTGGTTCTTATTTTTACCCCATTACCTGTGCACCCTTCACCTCCTCCACCCTTCCCTATTTACATAGACTTTGTTTCCATTTTTTTTTATTTTCTCACAATTTTTCCTTTCCCTTCTTTCCTTTCCCCTTCCTCTCCCACCACCCCTACCCCTTTACCCTGTCATTTTAAGTTATTTTGGTTTTGTATTTTGGTACTAGGTATTGAACTACATCACCAGCCCTTTTTTATTTTGAGGTAGTGTCTTACAAAGTTATTAAATTGTCCAGGTTGGACTCAAACTCATGATTCTCCTGCCTCAGCCTCCCAGGGTGCTAGGATTACAGGCATGCATCACCACACTCAGCTACTTTAGGTTCATAATGAGTGAAAAAATAAAATGAAGAGAAGCTCAGAAAGGAATGAAATATCCACCAGTGTGCTAATGACTCTGAGCTATTTCTTGCTGAGTTTCCTTTTTTTGGGAGGTGTGGGGAGCAGTACTAAGGATTGACCTGCCATACACCAGACAAGCACTCTGCCACTGAGGTACATCCCCAGCCCTTTTATTTTTTATTTTTTTTAAGACAAGGTCTCACTAAATTGCCCAGGCTGGGCTTTAACTTGCAATCCTCCAATTTTAGCTTCCCAAGCAGCTGAGATTACTGGAATATGCCACCACACCAAGCGAAATCTCCTCCTTCTGATCCTACTCCTATTAGCAGTCCTATTTTGCCACTGTCAAAAATCAATATAACCATGACAGCCCAGCAAAAAGTAACCTAGGAAACCTGTTAACTGGAAACTTGACAAAAATGTAACTGCTTTCTACAAAATATATTTAATATATCCCCAATGACTGAAAGAAAAGCTCTCCGAGTAAGCACTATAGTTCAATTCTCCATTACTTCAGGAGAACAATTTCACTGTTAAGACACTATCTTTAACACTGCTACACATAAATAAGAAAAAGAAGAGAATGATAACCCAAAGCATCAAAAAGCAGGTCCATTTCACATTATAATAAAAAATTAACAGGGTTTTAAAAGTATTTTAAGAGATACACTTGTCTTGAAAAACTTTCCCACTGAAATATAATTTAGGAGCTCGGGCTCGCGGGCAGCAAGGTCTCACCGCGCACCATGGCCGGGCTGCTGGCGCTGCTGGGCCTCGCTAGCCGGGCATCCGGATCCGACCTCGCGCCACCTGGCTCGTGGGCGCAGCCACCCCCTGCGCCCCACCACCCCTGGCCCTGGCCCAGGCCCAGGTCTGGCCGGGCCCAGATGCCCGTCTGCTGCTCGCGGGGCCTTCTCTGGCCACCAGGACCCCAGCAGAATCGCCAACAGGCAGCGATGCCGGCAGCACACAGAGCAAGCAGAGCAAGTCACAGCAGCTGAAGATTTTCCAGGAATATGGGGCCGTCGGTATGTCACTGCACTTTGGAATCTCATTAATCTCCCTGGGCCTGTTTTACATGGTTGTTTCAAGCGGCGTAGACATGTCTGCAATCCTGCTTAAACTTGGATTTAAAGAGTCGCTGGTGCAGTCAAAAATGGCAGCAGGCACAAAGTACCATCGTGGTGGCCTACGCAATCCACAAACTGTTTACACCAGTGAGAATCAGCATCACCTTAGTCTCCGTGCTCTTCATTCACAGATATTTTTGGAAAGTGGGTCTTTTTAAACCTCCAACTGCAAAACCTTGATAAACACTTCAAATGCAGGCACTGAAAACCTAGATAATACAATTTGGATTGATTTTAGGATTGTGGGTTTTTCTGGGGAGAAGCTGGGAGCTAATTGCTATGTTCTCATGGATAAAGTTTACCACTGCCACCAAAAATCAGATTTTTGAATGATTATAATTTTAGGCTTTAGACATTTTGCTAACGCTATTCATCACAGGGCTATGCACATAATCTAAGATGTCAGCATCACAAATGAGTTAACATCTCAAAATCAAACAGCCCCCTATATGTTCCTTCTGGGTCCTTGGTGAGTCTGTCTGCAAAAGCCCCTGGGGTTACTCATGCTCACGTTCTTTAAAAGCAATGATTAATTTAGTCGGCTCTTAAAATTCCCTTTCCTTTGATTTGTTGTCAGCAGCCTGCAGTTTAATGTGCAGTATTCTGCAAAACAGCTGCCAGGGCTACAATTAATGAAGCAAAAGTTCACAATTTTATGTGATCATAGTCTACATTAGCATCAGCCCTTTGACATTCATTACACTCGTTCTGGGGAAAGAAAGGCAAGTATTTCTGGTGTGTTTCATTGATTCCTAAACACCTTCAAATCTGGACATCTCTGAGTTTGAGATGGTTTTTCTGAAATTTCATTAAAGTGGGGCAGGGTCCCTTGTCTTTGTTTACGTGAGATATGAAAACCTTGCCCATTAGTAATGGTATCTCATGTGCTTCCAAAGTCTGCGTTCAGACTTTGGATATGAAAAGATCATCATAGCCCTTCCTGGACAGTATTTCTCTCATTTCAAACTTCAGACATTCCAGAATTGTCACAGTGTTTACAATGTGTCACTACTTACATATATATTTTTAACTGAACTAAAATTATACACATGAAAGACTTGCACTACTTCCCAGAAAGAAAAGTCAGTAGTACTTGTTATAAATGGAAGACAACCATGAAATAATATTTATACAAGCTGGGAAGAAAAGGAGACTGGCAGGTACAATTAGTCTACCAGGCTGGTTGTACCCAACAAAGGGAAAGTGTGTTAGGGAGATTAGAATTCAAGCACAGAGACCCAAATTTATGGCTTCCTCCTCTCGGGAGTGGGTAAGACTATTCTCTGGGCCTTTACACTCTCAGGACTCATTTATTAAGTCTGCCCTGCCGAATGGTTAAAGGAGGGCTGTATTTATCTTTCTGGCTCACAACTCCATCTTTAAAAGTTATTTCTGTGATAATTAGGAAACTAAAGAAACCATTAACTATTGATTTTACTGAGCTCTGGCTGTGGACAGTTCCCTAGTTAAACCATTATTACCTATGCCAATTAGTTATCTCAATTAACATTTAAAAGGATGTTTGTGGGACAAATTCTCCACTTGCAAAATTACTTTTCTTTTTTTCTCAGTACTGGGGATCAAACTAAGGACTCTGTGCTTGCCAGGCAGGCACTTTGCGACTGAGCTACATCCCTGGCGCAAAATTAAAGTGGAACGTTTTCTTTCAAAGCTCTTGGCATATTGCAGCTTTTCTGGATTTGAAGCTGGAACTGCCTTTCTGGGATCTAATTCCCACGGCATCTCTATAGCAGCTCCCTATGCCTGGTAACACCAGTGATAGTTTTTTATACGAGACTGGACAGAAACCTTCCCATCTTATCTTGTATTTAAACAGTGGCTTGTTCACTTTGGGCTATCCCCCCATTTATACCAGTGCAAAATGCCTATGCAAAAAAAGCTGAAAGCCCCAAAATTCAGGGGCTTAAAACTCAATCTTCATGTGTTAGGAGTGGACTGCAAGGGCGAGCAATAAAACAAATCATACCAAATAGCCATATCACTATCTTCTAAGCCCCAAACCCCCTCCATTCCTGTGGCCAGTGGCCAAAACATGGGAAAAAAAAGAGAGAGAGAGATGAGGTCAAAGGAGCAGGGAACTAAAGTATTATGTGAATTTACCAGCAAGATATAGACTGTATTTGCATTGTTTTTAAAGGAATTAGGGGACTGCTCTATTTTAAAAATGTAAACCACTGTCTGCCTCTAATTTTTTTATCTGACTAGGTGAGCAGTTTAAGTGAAACAAATAAACATCTTTATAAAGTTAAAAAAAAAGAAAAATAATTTAGGAAATAATATATTTTTATCTTCTTTCTTCTGGTTTCAAAGTTGTCCATTCTTCAGCAAAAACTTTCAGTTTCCACAGTGAAAGTTTCTGGGAGAAAGTTCACTTCCTTTCTTCAATGAAACAGAATTTAAATGCTCCACACTTGGGTCATATTTTATAGGCACTAATAATGTCCACCTATTCGGTGTAATAAATACTCTGAGGCGGGTCCAGTTTAGAACTTAGCCAATATTAGTCAAGAGTTTCATCTAACTTCACTATCTCCCTTAATCTTCACAATAGCAAATCTATCTATTAACAAATACAGAGGATCTAAGAGTTAATAATAAAACCAAAAGAAGTAAACCACAAAGGCAAAGAACATTTAAAACTTTCCATCAATCCCTATAAACAGGAATGAATCATTATCTTAAAAGTGAAATGGCTAGAATGCTAAGGTTTCTTTTAGAACTACTACAGCTCAAACAATAATGTGCATAAAACTTACTCTATGTGGGTGTATATGCAAAGCCACATACACTGAGCTTTACTAGCCACTAAGGGGTTTTGGTGGATTATGTTGACTACAGTTGTGGTATTCCCCTTAACTCTTTTGGTCTTCAGAACCTAACTTCCACAAAGATGCCCTATACCGCAGTAGTACGAAAAAGCTCCATTATCATCCATATCCATGAAGAAATGAGCTATATTAAAATCTTAATACTTTTTCTAGAGAGATTGAAGATGATATCAGAAAATGGACAGACATCTCCTGCTCCTGGGTAGGAAGGATTAATAGAGTGAAAATGGCCATACTTCCAAAACTGCTATATAGATTTAATGCAATTCCAATTGAGATCCCAGCAGCAGACTTCATAGACCTCGAGAAAACAAGCCAAAAATTCATTTGGAACAAGAAGAGACCCAGAATAGCAAAAGCAATTCTAGGTAACAGAGACATGGCAGGGGGTATCACAATCCCCAACCTGCAACTATACTACAAAGCTACTGTGATAAAAACAGCATGGTGCTGGCAAAGAAACAGACCTGAGGACCAGTGGAACAGATTAGAAGATCCAGAAACAACGACAGACACACTCAGTTATCTCATCTTTGATAAAGGAGCCAAACACCCTCACTGGAGGAAAGATAGCCTCTTTAATAAATGGTGCTGGAAAAATTGGGCTTCAACTTGCCAAAGATTAAAACTAGACCTGTATCTCTCACCATGCACTAAACTAAAATCAAAATGGATTAAAGATCTAAATATTCAAATAGAAACTCTGAACCAGTTGGAACAGAGGTTAGGTAGAACCCTTGAAGACATCAGTGTAGGAAAAGATTTTATGAACAAAACCTCAGTTGCCCGTGAACTAGCACAAACAATCAACAAATGGGATCTCTTCTTATTAAAAGGCTTCTGCACAGCAAGAGAAGCCACCAGCAGTGTGAAGAGACAACCCACAATGTGGGAAAAAATCTTCACCTGCTCTTCCTCAGACAAAGGTCTACTATCTTGAATCTAGAAAGAACTTAAAAAGATCAGACCTCCCAAATTTAAAGACCCAATCCGAAAATGGGCATCTGAAATGAATAGACATTTCTCAGACAAAGAAGTAGAAATAGCAAATAAATACATGAAAAAATGTTCAACATCACTGGTCATTCGACAGATGCAAATGAAAACAACTCTGAGATTCCACTTCACTCCAGAAAGAATGGCTGCTATCATGAAATCAACCAATAACAAATGCTGGCGGGGCTGTGGGGAAAGAGGAACCCTGCTCCACTGCTGGTGGGAGTGTAGACTGGTGCAACCACTGTGGAAATCAGTATGGAGATACCTCAAAGAACTAGGACTGGAAGTCCCATTTGACCCCACTATTCCACTGCTGGGGATCTTACCCAAAGAATTCAAAGAATCATACCACAGTGATATATGTGCGCCCATGTTCATAGCAGCACAGTTTGTAATAGCTAAAACTTGGAAACAGCCCAAATGCCCATCAACTGGAGACTGGATAAAGAAAATGTGGTTTTTTTATAAAATGGAGTACTACTCAGCCATAAAAAGTGAGAAATTAGAGACATTTATAGCTAAGTGGATGCACATTGAGGCAATACTCTTAGGTGAAATAAATAGGACACACATGTGTAAATACCAAATAGTTTCTCTGGTGTGAGAAACTGAAAGTGTAAATAAGGACTAAATGTATAATAGGTAATGTGAAATAGGAAGAAAAGGGGAAAAGGGAAGGAAGTTGGAGGGCTAGGGGAAAGGATAGAAGGGAATGGGATTACTATGAGAAAATGGAAAAATAGGAACAAAATCTTTGTAAATAGGGAGGACTGGCGAGGTTGAAGGGAGGGCTGGGCAAGGGTGAAAAATAAGAACCAAGAGAGACTATGTAAAGGTGCAAATTTCCAATGATGAATGTCATTATATTGTATAACTAAAATGTACCAATAATTGGAATGAATAATCGATAATGCAAAATAGGAAGAAAAGGTCCAAAGAGGTAGGGGTAGTGGGAGGGGCAGGGGGAAGGAAAGAAGGGAAAGGAAAAATGCTGATAAATGGAAATAAAGTCTTTGTAAATAGGGAAGGGTGGAGGGGGTGAAGGGAGGGCTAGGAATGGGGAAAAAATACGAACCAAGATGCATTATGTAAAGGTACAATTCCCAATGAGAAATGTAATTGTGTCGTATACCTACAACGTACCAATAAAAGAATTTAATAAAATGCCAAAAAAAAAAAACTTAATACTTTTTCTATTTGGTCCTCTAGCCTTAAAGCTCAAGAAATACCTATGGGTATTCAGTAAGCACTCCTTCTCTTAGGAATTCCAATTAAAACAGACATAAAACAAAGGCCTGCCTTCTCTAGAGGGTTGGACTGAGACCTGGAGGTATGGACACCATGCCAAGAGTAGAACCCTGCCTGGGGATTCCAGTCTTAAACTCAGTGTGACTATCTTTTCTGCCCTCTAAGGAGTCCCAAGGGGAGAGCAAGGATAGCAAAGTTTTTCCCTACTAGGGTAGAAAACTCCCAAAGTAAATTGAAGACTGACAAGGCCAGTGATACAGTTTATTACTTGGTAAATGAAGGCATGTTGGGTATCCTAATTGTGTATCACCCAAGGAGACAGATGCAATTAATGAACTGACATACCAGCAATGAGGTAAAAGCCTCATCAAAATTAGTCTTCCTTCCCTACTTCCAATGGTACTAATAAAACTACTGTTATTTATTAATATTTGGCTCTAACAAACATGTCCAGGAACCATTCTAACAAACCATTCTAAAGGCAATCTCCAACAATTCTCATTTGGTATGCATTCCACAGATTCACATTCAGATAGTCTGAAAGGCAATTTGAAAAGGGGTCTATAATCAAAGGATTTGAGGGGCCAGGAATTTAGCTCAGTGATTTTGCCGCCTGCTGCGGAAGCACAAGGACCCAAGTTCAATCCCTGGTACCAAAAAAAAAAAAAAAAAAGGATTTGGGAGGATGAGGAGGCAAAAATTAAAAACAGCAACAACAAAAGAACCCATTCTACGTTTTCTTACCATAATGAGCCCACAAGATGCACAACCATTCACTATTTCTTTTACTTAAGACATTCTCAAAATATAAGCAACATTATTTCACAGAATCTGGGATGGCTAAACTCATCATATTAAAAAAAGAGCAAAATGGTTTTTTTCTTACAAAATAGGAAGATAGAATCATCGTACAACCAGCCAGAATGGATGCCAGCACAATATCAGGTGGGATTTCTGAACCACTTCTCCCAAGGATAGGAGTAAACATCTCAAATACCGCCCAGATGAGGTACATTGCATAAACATAAGGAATAAACATCCCCAAAAGGTAAAAGGCAATAAATTTTCCTTGGGCACCTAGAAGAAAGAGAAAGAAAAAACATCTATGAAATACTACCCTGAGGTGCAGACTTTTATGGTGATGGGTCTTGGCATCTAAGAGAAATTAGGTTAGATGCACTTCAATACATGTTATCTACTGAAATAACACAAGTGCATTCAGAGAGGATAAAATACAAACAAGAATTAAAATACCAATAATATATTAGTATGTGCTCATAAACACAAGAATGAGATGGGACATAGGGTAAGATAAAAATTTACATGTTATAAAAATTTAAAGGGTTGAGTGCAGTGGCACACTCTTGTAATCCCAGGTACTCAGAAGGCTGAGTTGGAAGGATTCTAAGTTCAAGGCAAGCCTGGGAAACATAGTGAGACCTCATCTCAAAAAAAAAATAACAAGCACTTGGGAGGCTGAGGCAGAAGGATTGCCATGAGTTTGAGGCCAGCCTGGGCTACATATTGAGTTTAAGGCCAGCCTGAACTACATAGTGAGACCCTGTCTCAAAAAACCAAAATAATAACATTATTATTAACAATTATTATTACTACTATTATTATTTGGAAAGGCTACTCAATAAAACAAAGTCCCTGAAAGTTTTATATATTTTAAGGAATTTTTCATCTGTATCAAAATTAATTCCCCTACCATGCTGCTTAAACTCCTTGTGCATGGCAAGCTTTGTGAGCAAAGGAAACGCTACCCAGACAGCACTAATGAACGCCGAGCAAAGTCCTTGGTAAGTGAACATTACAAGAAAACTACAATGCACAAACAGTGAGATGTCAAAAAACACTTCTCCCAGATACTGGTCACTGGCATTCTGAAAGAAAGAAAATAAACAGTCTCATTACAGGTCGTTCATAAATGAGCTATATTTTGTTTTAAGCAGAGTCTACCCTTTAAACAGACGAAGTAAACACAAACTTCTGTCCTACAAAGTAAATTCAAAATTACTGCATAGGAAGGGTAATTTCACAAGATGGAAGGAAAACTGTCTAATCTGTACTTTTCTTTCACAGGGCTAAAAGTAATCGTTGGAAATATTCCAAAATAAAAGGTGTCTGTAAGTTTTTCCAAAGACAGAAGCAAACCAAGCGGCCTGTGAAGGAACTGCTGCAGGTCCACATGGAGTACCTGAGGGCTATGATGGGTGTGGTTTGATTTTCCTGCCTCTTTTCCATCTCCAACTGGTCACCCTTGCCCTCTTCTTGTATTCCTGGCACTTTCATATAAAATTTGAGCTACCTTTTCTGCGACTTGAAGTCAGAGGGCTCCTGGGCACCAACCTGCACTCTTCAGGAAAATGCTGCCTTATGCGCATAATACATCCTAACATCAGCAGGAGTGAGTTTCTCAATGCAAATGTGAGAGTTACAATTACAGTGCATAAATACTAACATGTAAATAGATGTCTTTAAATTTCTTTTTCCTCTGCCTTCTCATTTCTGTTTATCCCAACGTGTGTTTAAGGCACCTCATTCCAAGAGCTCAAAGGTTTCTGCTTCATGATTTCAGAACAAGTTAAAGTTCATTTGACAAACGCTTTGCATACTAAAAGACATGTTATAACTATTAACACTTAGATGTTCAACACAGTGTTAATCAAGAGGCTTGGTCTTTTTCCAGGCATGGTGGTGCACACCTATAATCCCAGTACTCAGACGGCTGAGGCAGGAGGACCACCATGAGTTCAAGGCCAGCCTGGGTTACAGAATGAGTTCAAGGTCAGCCTGAATTACATACATAGAGAGATCCTGTTTCAAAAACAAAACAGCCCAGCCTGGGCAATTTAGTGACTGAGACAGTCTCGAAATTTAAAAAGGCTAGGGCTGGGACTGTAGCTCAGTGAAGACACCCTGGGTAAATCCCCAGTCCTGAAAGAAAAAAAAGAAAAGAGAAGAAAGAAAATATGTTTTACAGAAAGTACCCAAACTGTATCAAAGACAAAATAAACATCTCTCAAATCCATTTTCATCCTTACTTTCATTTATCCCTCCCATTCCTGCACCATTCCAAACACTCTATATAGTGTTACAAGTTTTCCTACTAAATCACAAAATCTATATCCTGCTAAAAATTTTTAATGGTGATCCCAGTGATTTTTGGGGTCATGATCCTAGCCTACTTTTCAGTTATTGTGCTGTCCACACTTTTTCTTCACCCCACTGGATGTTTTAATGTATCTCGTGTATTCCCATCTTGACTGTTCATAAACCCACTCTATCTAATAAACTTCTATTCATGCTTCAAAAACCCCAAATGTCACCATCTCCATCATGACACCTCCCTGACTTCCACAAGCAAAATTCATCTCTCCTGCCCCTGTGTATAGCACTCCCTATATATCACTCTATTTCACTTCACCCCACAATGTACTACAATCAATGTGTTTTGCATCTCTTCCCAAATGAAACCATGAGCTTCTCAAAGAGATCACATTCTTATGAATCTCTGTATCACCAGGTCTCATCATAATGCCTAACTGCTTAAAAAATATATCTGAACTGAAAATGAAACATTATTATTTCCATTGTATTTTCCGCCCAAAGTCTTATAATCAGACCACTCAAATTAGTGGAAGTTGAACTTCTCTAGGCATTTCTATCCCACATCTGTCCCAATCAACAACATTCAATCATATTCTGGGTATAATACCTACACTGAGAATAAACATGTGAAACTAATCCCTTTAGCTACCCTCAAAAAATCTTTCTTCAATAGAGTCTGCTAACATGGAAAAGTTCCTTAGACCACCTCACAACGTTAACTGAAACTGAGACCAAAGACATCCTAGTAGAAAAAGTTTAGATTACATTATTCCATGTTCCCAATCTTATCCCTCCCAGTACAAACTGAAAAGCAGATATCTACTGACTGTCTTAAAAATAAGGGAGTTTCCCCCTTAATTCTCTTAGAAAACAAGGAACTATTGCTCTCTTAGTATATTTCATTTTTAGTTGCTATTTCATAACCTTAATTCTTTATATTTACCAAATTTATACCACTGAAACCATAACAATTATGACAGCATTCTCTAACATACAGTATAAATCGTTTAGAATCCCATTTCTCCTCCCACCTTTTTCCCTAGCAATGTGTCTTTAACAACATGCATGCTATCAAAATCTGCATCAACAAACATATAAGTAAAAGAAAAACAATGAGAGAAATATTAAAGCTTCTAAGTGCAACATTCCTTTATGCAACAAGTATTTGCTGTGTGTTAATGCTGTGTATCAGATACTCCCTAAGCAAGGGAATACATGATGAATAAAACAATCCCTGCCCTCATGAAGCTTAACAGTCCAGTGAAGAATATCAGTATTCAAATATAAGCAACTGGGTGAGTCCAGGGTGAGTTGGTAGACACCAGAACATGTTACCAAAAAAAGTGCAGCAAGCATGGCAGAGACGAAACCTTGCTGTCACCACCATCTGAAGCACCATTTATAGCACAGCTTTAGAACCTCGTTTGAATTCTCCAACACAACTCTCAGAATAAGAAACCTTCCAGCAAATTAACATAGCTGTGGGAGTGTTCTCTATAACCATGTAGAACAATCTCTAATAGCTCAAAAGACCAAATACAATTAATCTCACTTGACTTTTTTCCTTAGTCCTTGAAAGCAGCAAAAAAAAAAGAATAACAAATGCGCCTATTACTTACCGTGTAATAAAATCTTTTTGCAAGGGTATGTATAAGTATTATTTTAGCTGCAGCTGCAGTTCCATATAGACCCACGGAGACATAGAAGTGGTTGTACCATGAGAGAGACTGTCCGATAAGAGAGACGAACACTGCTATGATGAGAACCGTAACAAGGCTGGTGAACCAGCTAATGAAAGTGATACCAAGACCACACAAGAAGTCCTTCATGTAGTTAAGAGCTAGTGAAGAGAAAGCAAAAAGTTGGAAGTCATCATATTCATCAAATCCACTACATAAACAGTAGTTAAAGGGGAAAACATTGAAAAATTCACCACTGTAATTGTAAAGTACTGGAATGTCCTAGCGTTGAAGATTTTTAAACATAAGGAAAATATCAAAGAACATTTATTAAGTGGGTAGTTTTAATCTTCATCAACTTTGGAATAATTAACGTATGAAAATATTAGCATGGATGGAAGGCAAAGTTTCATATAAAATTTTGCTAACAGAAGCTAGCATAGGAAAATACAGACATGGAGAAAATAACTAGTGATAATGAATTATTTAAGTTAGTGCTAAATATTTTATTTTGTAACAGCACATGACAACTTAAAGAGTCTAAAACGTCAAGCAGAAACATTTCAATCAAGAGGGACAAATTTAATCAAAAACAGTTCATTCATACTTCAAAATAGTGTGCTATTGATCTATAAAGTGAAAAGACCTTTTTTTTGCTTTTTGAGACAGGATCTCACTATGTAGTTCAGACTGGTCTCGAACTCATTATGTAGCCCTGGCTGCCCTTGAACTCACAGCAATCCTCCTGCCTCAGCCTCCCAAGTCCTGAGATTATAGGCCCGTGCTACCATACCAGCAGGAATTTTTTGAGTCTTTTCATTAAAACTCAGTCTATACAAACCATCTTTCATTGCTTCCTATCTGTTATTTCTATAAAGTTCATAAAAATTGTCTACTCACAAAGCCTAAAAGTATAAGAGCACATCAATTTAATATTTACTTGAGAATTTTCACAATATAAATCAAGCATTGTTTTCTTGAGATTTTTAACTGCCTGGGAAGATATAAGCACAATGATTAAAAAAACTTCAAGCAAATCCTATACCCGTGCCAGTAGTTCCAACTTTAGAGGAGAATACTTACTGTTATGTTTGGGCTGCAACAGTTTTTTGCCCAGGTACAAAACAACAGCCATCACCACCATGTAGTTTATTATTGAGCCAACACGACAGGGGTAAGCAATGACAAACAGGCCAAGCACATCAAAGAAGACCATTTTTCCATGTCGATACTCAGAAGAAAAAGCCAGCATATCAGATGTAGCTAAATATTTAAGAACTGCTAAAATGTTGTCACCTATTAGTAAAGGAAGATAACAAAGCTGAATAATTAAATGTGATTTACATGTAGAAGTATACAAAACAAAAACAAACCATCTACTATTTGAATAAGTAAACAGACAAGAAGGGCATGAATAAGCAAAGTTTCCAGCCATCCTTCTGCTGTCCCCCACTTTTCTTACTAAATTTCTCAAAGTCCATGCTCTCTACTCCATTTCCTCATTTAAAAGCTCAACCTTTCCTCTCCATTAGAACCATTCTCTATGATCAACTAAGTGTACAACTTAATGATTGTATCTTAAGTCTCCATTCATTTAATCTATATTAACTGTATCATTATGTGAACTCTATGCTAGATACCAGAAATTCAGTGGTGAACCAAGAGATGAAAACTCATGAAGTTCAGAGACACTGAACAAGCTGTTACAGTGTGTTAATATTAAGGAGAGGTTTGGCTGTGAAAGACTAGTGGAGTTTGGGAAGTGAGGGATACACCCTGGAGGAAATGACATTTATAGGCAAACAATGACTAGGAGCTAGATACAGCAAGGGAGACTGTCCAGACAGAAGTGTGCAGATGAAGGCCTTGAGGAGGAAAAGTTCCAGATACAGAGAAAAGTCCTGAAGGAAGAGAACGTACTCAGCAATGAAGCTGGAGAAGCAAGGAGTCATAGGCAAAACCTGGCCCATCAAAGGTCCATAATAAATATTTGTTATATCGATCAATCAATGATTATATGTAAAGTTTTTTGTTTTGTTTTGTTTTAGAGACAGGATTCACTATACTGCCCAGGCTGCCCTCAAACTCCCATGTTAACATGATTCTCCTGCCTCACCTTCCAGAGTAGCTAGGACTATAGGCATGCACCCACACTTGGCTTCATTTAAACTTGAATTCAAGAACACTAACAAGACTTGAATGATTTGCACTTCTTTCTGTTGCTCATCCCATCCTTGACTGTCTCTTTTTATTAACTTAAGACAGCACATTCTTACCACCAGATTTCTTTCACTGGCTTCTGTCTGCTTAAAATGTATTTTCTTCAAAGCTCAGTCTTAATCCTTTACCTTTGCTTCACTCATCCAGAAAACTTGTCCATCCTGTAGTCTGGTACCATTTTCTCTACACCCTTCATTGCAAAAACCACATGCCCAGTTTTGCCAAGAGCTCCAGCCCCACACTCTTTTCTTCAGGCTGGCATCTTCCATGTCTGACAGAACACCAGTCTGCTTCCTTCACCACTGCCAGCCTGAATGAGGGTCACCTCATCCCACTGCCTAGCCATGCTCAACGGCATCCCTTTGCCCCAGTCAGAGACTTCATATTTTCATCTTTGCTGATAGCCTTTTGATTTGTCCAACCTGTCAACTCTTCCTGAATTTACATTCAAAATGCATCTAATTTTCCTTTCCTCCCTTTTTTTTTTTTGAGACAGGGTCTTGCCATGCAGTTCAGGCTGGCTTTGAATTCACTATGTAGTCCAGGCTGGTCTTGAACTTGAAGTCAGCCTCCTGCCTCAGCCTTTGGAGTGCTGGGATTACAGGTGTGTGCCACCACATCCAGACTCCCTTTTGTTTCTATCTCCTCTCAACACCAATCTAGGTTCTCTTTATTCCACATATAAATTGCTATCACAATGGACCTGACTCCTGACTCTCTTCTCCATATTACCCACTCCACACTGCATCACCAGCCCAACATTTAAAACCATTTCACGCAGTCATTCGTGGATTCAGCCAGACCTTCAAAGATTCTTTATTTCTTTAGCATCTTCTTGCTGATTTTTAAAACCTTCTATAATTTTTTCTCCCTCATACCCTTCTACCTTACTTCCCTCTATTTCTGAATCTTCATTCTAGTCCCAACAGCCTACTCACAAACAGCTTCCTACAAATACATTCCTCACACTGTGTTCTAACTTGAAATGTCTTATTTCTTCCACAGGCCAAATTCTACTAAATTGTTAAGGCTGAGTATCAGATTGGCCTCCTCTGAGCTTTCTGGAACTCTCTGGAAAGCACTTTAACTCCCTGTCCTATAAGTTCTCACTTGCTCCCCAGAACAGCACCCAACCATGTATCCATGTAACTGTTTTCCACACCATGCAAAACTACTCACACCTGTGTCCTACTACCTCTGATTTACAGTGTTGGCTATATTCTTATTGTTCAGCAATATTACTATAAACCTCAATAACTCCCTTTCTAAATCCTCACAATAAATATTTCCATGTTCTGAACTGTTACAATAGAGAGAACTAAAATTTAAGCCTTCATCTCTTAGACTCCAAATCCCTAACTCATTCCACCACACAGCGCTTCTCTAATGCACTGGCAGCAGAATATTTATACATTTATAAGTCATACCTAAAATTTCATTTTATAGTATAAAAGTCAAACTTGAAATACCAACCTGCTCTCTGAATGGAATCTGTTAAAATTCTGTCTGCTGTGTCATACTTGGTGTGATAAATGTATCCATTCTCAATAAAAGCTAAGTCTATTCCTAAAATAAAGGAAAAAAAAGTCACTTTGCTTTGAAGATCAACCTTGCTTTAGGCCTTGGTTCATAAACTTGATTCTTTCCATGATTCTGGTTGCAAATCAAGCTGGATGAGAACTGAATCAAATTCACTGGTTAGGTTCAACATTGAACTTATGGGGAAATTTGATTTGCTTCTCGTCCAGTTTGGTTTTTGACCAGAATTGTGGAAAGAAATAAGTTTATGAAACAAGGTATTAAATTCCTAAAAAGATAAAATGTCAAAGAAGTAGGATGGTTGCTTTGTCATATTTATGAATGAATGACAAATTCTCTTCTACATTCTTATAAAATCTATAGTTATGGTACATAATTCAATACATAATGATTGAGGAAGTATACTATTCCACAGGGAGGCATCAGATATCACACAAATGAGTTTGTGGTCATCAAAACTTTGCCATCTAAGGCTGGGGGATGTAGCTCAGTAGTAGCCTTGGCCTAGCATACATAATGTCCCAGGTTCCCCAGTGACACAAAAAGAAAAAACCTCCACTATCTATATCTTTGTCAGACCAGCGCCAAATTTTAGCTTCACCTAAGCTAGTGGTGGCGAACCTATGACACACGTTATTGTGTTTTTATCTTAAGACAAAAGATGTTAATGTAGAGTTGTTTTTTCTAAACTAAAACCTTGGTATTCAGGTTTAATTGCAGTGTTGGCACTCTGTGATAAAATAAGTGGGTTTTGGGTTGCAGTTTGGCACTTGGCAAACTGAAAGGTTCACCATCCCTGACCTAAGCTATAGAAATCACCAAATGAATAGGTAAAAACCATAGCGCAAGTCAAAGCAGATTCTGTTATCACTTTTTGGGAATAAAGTATTAAACTGTTCTTCTGTCACAGAAGATACAGAGGAGGCAAACATTTAAATTAGCATGAAGTTTAAAAAAGGAAAATACTAAGAAATCTATAGAGTGCCAGAAAGGATAGTTTTCACAAAAAGAATGTGTTCTCAGAAAATCCTGTTTACTCACAAACTTTCCAGTCGTGAAGCCCACTTTTGATAAATCAATATTGTGCGACAGCCTATAACCACTGATAAAATACCTGGAATGTTCCCAAAATCTCTGTAGATACGGAAGTCAGTTTCTGAAGGAATGATTCCACTCTGAAAAACCTCCTGAGCCACCACAGAAGCAAAAGGGTGTTTAGCTGCTGAAACATAAGCTTGAATCAACCAAGGATTTTCAGGACCTGAAATGAAACATGACAACACAATACAAGGTTAACCTCATAAACTTCTTAACATATACCACTAATGTTTTTCTTTTTGTGGATGTGCTGGAACCCAGGGCCCAACACATGGTAAACAGGCACTTTACCACTGAGCTACAGCCCCATCCCCAGTACTAATTTTTTTTTTTAAACATACCAAAAGTACTGACAAGATGGTTTTTGGAGATGTAGTCAAAATTAATTTAATCCTTTTTTCTGTAATTTTCAACACTTCTTTCATATATGTATATGACTTGTAGAATGAAAAATAACATTATAAAAATAATTAAATTATGGCATCTATAACAAGTTTAAATCTGAAAACAAAAAAAATTTGTGAGTCTATCATCCTAAAATTATTACTATCAATTTCATACCTTTTTTTATAAATGTACAATCACGTGTACATAGCTATAAACAAAAGGTACACTTTGCACACTGCTCTCTCACTTAACATTACACTAAATTGGGCCAGGGATTTAGCTCAGTAGTTCCGCCGCCTGCCTCGCAAGCACAAGGTCCTGAGTTTGATCCCCAGTACCCAAAACAAACCAAACAAACATATTAAATGTATTTTCCTATGTTGCTAGAGACAATGATAATTTTAGTAACACTTTGTTGACTATGCCATTAAATTCCTATGGCTTATAATTTATGATAATTAATATTTTGTATTCATATCTTTATACATAGTTTTTCTTCAAAATTGAAAGTTTCTTCTTTAGGATCATAGGATAAATTACATTACTGTATCAAATTATTTTTTAAAAGGATTATCCCATTCCTACTCTTGCCACATCACTTGTTATACCTCCCTGTAGAATCAGTAAATTCTCTTCCAAAAACAATTAACAACAGGCTTGGCCACAAGACGTGCTTGGGCCACTGGACTGTGAGCAGGATAACATGACCTTCAACCCAGCAGACTTTTAAAAGTCATTCCTTACTCCTCTTTAACTTTGGCTTTGAGGTCAATAATCCCTAATAAGGGCTTACCCTTCATCCCAGATTTCAGAATGAATTAGACATCTGGAACATGATCATGGAGTATGACTGCAGTTATTCAGGAACCAAAATGTGACATAAGCAAGAAATAAGGCTGAGATTCTAGGATCGTACGTTATAGCAAAAATTAGCAATAAATTGACAAAGTAACAGATCAAGTAACTGCATTTCAGAGAATCTAGGATTTTTATAACTTTGTAAACAAATTATCAAATTGCTTTCCTACATTAAAAGAAATCAACAAAGGATGAAGGGACATTACAGCAATAAACACACAGGAGATTCAAATACTGGAGTTAAGAGCCATAGACTTTTTTTTCCCCCAGTGCTAGAGAATGAGCCCAAGGCCTCACACATGATGGACAAGTGCCTTACCACTAAGTTACATCCCCAGCCCCTAGGCGCAGATTTAAAATATTATGATTAATATATTTTAAAACAGAAAGAAAAAAGGATAGGATATTCAGAAATGTACATGGGATACAATGAAAAAGTCTAGCATAAGATTAACTGCAGTGCCCTAAGAACAGGAGACAGAATGTACATACAGAATGAAATACTGAAATAATTGGGGCCAGGGATTTAGCTCAGTAGCATCGCACCTGCCTTGCAAGCACAAGGTCATGAGCTCAATCCCTGGTACCAAAAAAAAAAAAAAAATACTGAAATACTATAATTACACACAAAAAAAGAGGAAAAATGAAAGCTTCCCTTGCACTACAATTCCAATGATTAAGATGACGGAATGATGAAGCTAGCAAACGCAGTATGTGGCAAACAGTAAAAATGGTCTGAGGCAAGAATTATCAATGATTGCTAAAACTAAGATCAAACTTTGGTGGGAACAGGATAACTACATAATTTCAAAGTACTTATTACAAGTACTTTGTTGGTGGGAGTACAAACTGATACAACCACTATGGGAAAAAAAAAAAGGAGGATTGGTGAACATCAGAGAAACAGCCTCTCCGAGATTTGGTGTCCAGATGCCAGAATATAGGAACGTGAGAAAGAGAAGTAGGGAAGTGGGTCTGCAGGACCTAATAAGGATCTGAAGCAAGAATTGAAGCCCATGGGGAGAGCAAAGAGACCTCAAAGCAGAAGGAGGTGGCAGGTGGCACTTTCTCCTCAGCCCTGACTCACTGTGTGGAAGGGGTGGCTCAAATCTGCAGATGGGCAGTGACTAGTGGCAAGCCAGGGGCTTCCACAGAGAAACACACCAGTGGAACGGAGTCGTGGACTCAGTGGACCACAATGGCTGATGAGTTATTTGGGTTCAGATGTCCCCCAGGAGAAGGTAATTGGCTGGTAGCCATCTTGAAGAGAGGCCAACTGAGCTAAGAACTCAGAGCAACTGCTGGCTATCTCCATCTGGTCACTCCCAGTATCACGGTCAGACAGAATGGAGTTCAAGTCAGCAGAAGGTGAAGAAGCTGAGTTCAAGCCAACATGGAGTGTTCCAGGCTGAATAAACCAGGTTCCAGCCTCAGAGGCAGAATCCAACCTAAACTTCAGTGGAAGTAAAGGTGCAGGGTTGCTGGGATTATCCACTACCCTGCTGTAAAACTACAGCTGGCTTGCTGGCATTAATCAACATGGATCCGGGCTCTGTCCACTCACTCTGTCTACCAGTTACAGTGAAGACATGCCCTGAAGCGGACTTTTTTTTCTTCTTTTCTTCTTACTGGGTTTCTGTCACATATTGTTTTCCATCTTTTGATTTTCAGTCTATGAATTTCTTTTTTAATTAAATGTGTTTATTGTATATAATATATTGTTGGATCTTGCTTCTTGATCCATTCGGCCAGTCTGTTTCTTTTGAATGGTGAATTGAGCCCATTTACCTTGATGGTTATAAGTGATATGTATTGATTTATCCCTGTCATGGTATTTTCCTGTTGTTGAAAAGAGCAGGGATTACTATTCTATTTGCAGACAAAGTGGATTTGTGCACCCAATTATATGAAATATTAACAGACATGAAAAGTCAAATAAGTACTGATACAATTGTAATGGGGGACCTCAATACCCCACTGTCACAAATAGATCAAATAGACAAAAAAAATCAATAAATATCAGAACTGAATCAATCTTATTACAACCACTATGGAAATCAGTATGGAGATTCCTCAAAAAACTAAAACTAAAAATTCCATTTGATCCAGCTATTCCCCTTCAAGGTATCTAGACATCATACCAGTGATGTATGCATACCCATGTTTATAGCAGCACAATTCATAACAGCTAAATCTTGGAAATAGGCTATATGTCCATCAACAGATGAATAAAGAAAATGTGGTATTTATATACAATGAAGTACGATTCTCCCATAAAGAAGGATAACCTTGAATCATTTGTAGGAAAATGGATGCACCTTGACACTATAATGTTAAGCAAACTAACTCAGACATACAAGCTCAAATATTGCACGGTTTATATGAAAAACTCAATATACATAAAGTATGAGATAAAAGACAGATAATAGGAAAAAAAGACATTGTAATCCAATGTGGACAATGTATCTAAAAGTGTACCATGACTCAGTACAACTATCTTACATGGTTGTTTTTGTTTTTTGGGGGTTTTTTTTGGTACCGGGGATCAAACTCGGGACCTTGTGCTTGCAAGGCAGGCAGGAGAACCACTGAGCTAAATCCCTAGCCCTATCTTACATGGTTTTTATGTTCTTTGGCAGATTAGTCTGGTTTTTAATCTATATATATGTTAATTAACTGTATAAGGTCTTATAAGACAAATAAATGAATCTGATGCTAGAAAAATGAAAAGGGTTAGGGGAAAGGGTTTAAGAAAAGAATTGAAATGTGTTAGGTACATATACCAATTCCCTACAGTGAATATAATAATTATCTACTGCAAATATGTACTATGAAAGTTTTTTAAAAGTCTAAAAGGGCCGGGGATTTAGCTCAGTGGTTGCACCGCCTGCCTTGCAAATGCAAGGACCCGAATTTGATTCCCCCCTAAAAAAAAGTCTAAAAAACAACTAGAATAGTATTGGAACAACTGGAGAAATCTGAATGTGCATTTTTATTGAGCAGCTTTATATCATAGTATTTCTTGAGTGTGATAAATATGCTGCTATAGAGGAGTATATTCCTGTCCTTTATTTACTAATTTTACTGAGATTATCAACTGACATAATTTTTCTCCTTTACTCACAGTGAATTATACTGACTGATTTTCAAATATTAAACCATATTATTGCTCAATTTGGTTGGAAAGTATTACTTGATTTGTATATTTAACTTGCTAGACTCAGTTTGCTTATATTTTATTTAGCACATGCAAAATTAAATCTATCAAGATATGTCAGTATCATGGTAACCATTTGGGGTAGGAATGACTGAGAAGGGCTACAAAGGCTTCTTACCCATCATATTCTCTCTCTTGATCTAGGTAGTGGCTACAGTATTATATTGCATTTGTAAAAATTTATTAAGCCAAACACAAGCAGTGAGCTCTTCTTGTAATGAAATAAAAGACACCTAACAATAATAAAGTTCATTTTATGCACTGTACCAAAAAAAGTACAAAAATTATTTTAGAAAATATAAGATCCATTAGCAAGAAAGGGATTTAGTTTTAAAAGTCTGCTACCTGGCCTTTAACCCCCTTATAGAGTCTACTGCAGCATGGAAGTGCTCTAGCCCTATTCTAGCCTCTTATGGATCACCCTCTGAGGTCTACAGGTTGTGGATAGGTCAAGTTTGAGTGTAAACAGGGGAGGGGTCTCAGGAGACAGATCAGTTCCTGAGTGAGACAATCCCCATGATACAAACAAAGCAAAAGGGAGCCCCTTAAATGAGAAATTAAGCCCTGAAGTTTTATTATGAGATTATTAATCATAAGAGGTAGGTACCAACAGTATCACTTGTACAAATGAGAAACTTGATATTTGGAAGGGTTATGTGACTTGTCCAAGGTTCCACACTTAGAGCATTCAACCACTATGG